TGCATTGTCTTCGTGGGAGCATGGACTCCGCTGACGTCTTCAAGTAGTGTGCTTTGGCGAGCGTGCTCGAAGTGAAATTGGCTGGCTGCGCGAGGCATTCGAGGTTTCGTTTGGCGATAAGAAATCGTGACATGTTGTAAGGTACATCTAAGCAGTGGGAGGCACAGCAACTATCACGCGCCTCCGTTGCCTCACAAGGAAGCGACATGCGTTTCTGCGGACCGGATGCGTCGCTGTAGCTACGCAACTCGTGTCTGTCATCTCGATCTCGAAGCGAAGCTGAGATTACGCGTTGGCGGCAGACCGATGGACTTCTTGCAAAGGCAAGTCCGGCGAAACCCCGGCACCAGATCTCAAGATATATAAATAATATTTGCGAGTCCGTCTCTCGCCCGAAAGGGTACGGCGACCAAAAACCACACCACTGCCAGAGTGCGCCACTGCCACCGCCACTGCCACCGCCGTAAAAAAATCCCGCCGCCACCGGGGTTTTCTCAGAGACTTGCTTCGCGCCTGAGTTTTTGCTCTTTTTGAGATCAAGCGATTTGGAATTGATAGAAGCTGTATTCAAATCGTTTCCTAGGGCATGTGATGCTCTACTCTATTTCGACGTGTTTCGTTTCTTTTTGGCACGTCACTGTACAAAGAATGTACAGAATATGACAGCGTAGGCTCAACTCTGAAACGCGTCTTCCACCGCTGCGTGCTAAGCTCATTCTGTCAACTGACGCACAGCAAACGACGATTCGGGTCGTGATTCCTCCCTGCTCTCTGAACTTGTACTGAGGCACTCGCTACCGTCATCCCATGATCCAACCTTGATCATCGTTCCTTTCCGAGGGAAACAAGCAGACTAATTTCTGGCCTTAATGCTTGCCTCATCAATGCTCGGACCGGACGCGTCGGACGCGTAAGCGACTTTGTTTACGTGTCACAATCGCCGCCGTCGCTGCCTACGCGAGCCGGTTGCCGGAGTCTGTGCGCTGGCTTTGTTTCCTGCCTTCTTCTCCTTCTCGAAAGCCTCAACGACTTCTTCCACCTTCCTTCACCATCTATCTCAAACACTCAGCTTACCATCGTCAGCCTCTGCATCGTTCTTCAAACGCCATCTCAAAACTCATCCTGATCCATCCGCACAGTCAAAGCTGCACAAACATGCGACGGTGCCCTCACTCTCACTCCACGACCTCGAAAAGCAGCTCTTACAGCAGCATCCAGGCAACTGGTAAGTCAATCTTTCGCATCACATACGTGACGTAGCATACTGACATCGAAAGATCGACTACGTAGCCGATCCATCCGTCCCCGAACACGCTGATCAAAAGCGTCCTCTACAAGTTACATCCGTCGCTCGCGTCCGAGCTCCGAAGGCCAATACCCCAATCTACCAGACTTTAGGACTGTGACAAGAGATACACGGCACCTCTCGCCAGAACTCCATTCGACACGCCCATGTCCTCGACACCCTTACACCACACACGCACATCCTTCTGTGGCCTCTTCCCACAGAACACCGACTCCAGCCGGCATAGAAGATCCAGACAAACGGTAGGAGACCGCGATCTCTTCTGAGTCGTAGAGATCAGGACAAGAATACAGGCATCAGCATGCGGGCCCGCGTGCACGCTGTTCAGTCAACCATTCAAAGGACTTTCTGGTACAGTCGTCCTCGAGTTAGATCATTGTTAATTGGTTGACAGGCGCTAACTTGGTGACAGTCGATGCAGATGGCACTTCTGTGCTGCCGGACCAACACCATGCCATGTGGTCAAGGCCGCGGGTTTCTGTTTGACAGTCGGCCACCAGAACCTGAAGGGTAAGCTTCAGTCGATTCACATTGACATCCCATGCTAACATCAGCATAGCCGCAAGCAAAGCATCGGAATGAGGGAAGCGAAAGACCCACGAAGAAGAGAACAGTAACAGTAGGGATAGCAAGGATGACGGCGCTTGCGTAGACGACGACCTTCTACTTCGAGAGCGTGAACCAAGAGATTGGGGCGTAGGTGGCCGAGGTGTTTCCATCTCGTCCATCTGCTCCTCTATTTCGTGGTCCATGTTCTCGAAGTAGAAGTTCGTCGTCCACACAGGCTGCGCTATCTTTGCTACTGTCACTGTTCTCTTCTTCGTCCTTTCCTCACCCTCTGGAGAGCACCAGTCAAAGTACGAGACAACCAGAATCATTCCCTGAAAGGTTCACCCCGACATATCGACAAATTCGCTCCACGAGCCCACATCCAAGCGATCCTCCGGAGATGGAAGCTATCCGACGCCTGCTCGGCGACGATGAGACACAGACAAGATTTGGTGCTCCGACGCTGACGGGAACAAGACCTTGCGAGCGCTGGAAAAACTCGGCCACAAAGCCGGAGATTGTCTGCCAGGGATGGAGCAGATGGAATATGTTGAGAATGCAATGAAGGCGGGTTGTTGGGATAGATATGGGCCCCAGAAGCATTCGGGTTTGACGTTGCATGGCATTCTTGTCTCGCGAAGATCGTTGCCAGGGGTACTGATGATTGGAGATTGGTAATAGCCTTGATAAAAGGATGTATGTCACACTGAACTTTGACAGAAAGCACCTGATATCAACTGTACATGTACGATGGGCGATCATAAACTACTGTTCAGCTTGTGGGCACTGAATCATGACCGTCTCAAGCCTTCTTGTCCAAACGGGCTTTGGAGAAGACTCAAAGGTATGCGGAGGCAAAGCAATAGGGTCACTCGGCGCTCTGGGCCCTGATTAACTCCCGTCTACTCCAAAATGACTTGGCATTCTTTCCTCTGCTCAGCTCATTCTTTCAACTTCACGTCTCCACATGCTCTTGCTTTCAATTCTTCAAGAGGAGCACATCGCCCAAATTCGATCTCAAGAGGTAAGTAAAAGACAGATATCATGCGAGCTGAGTGATCTGCTGACCATCGGACGGTTTTGTATTGGCGAGACGGTCAACGCTCTGTATATAAGGATCTCGAGAGTTCAGACCGTCGGAAGTGAAAGTGACTTTGAGCCAGAGTCAAATCTCTTATCATAACCTCGTCCGTCCACAGAAAGTCTCGTCTGATGTTGTACTTTGTTGGCACTCACTCTTGCCTCAGCTTCGGGTGCTTTACAGGGAGCGGTGACTGGTACAAGGTAGAATTGGTGCAAAGGAGCCTTCCTCAATGGTATCTGACTGCAGGTGTGGGTCGAGTGCCTGCTAGAACGGCAAGTCGTATACACACTGCTTCGTTGAACGCTCTTGTCGCCTCCAGCGACATGAGACATGTGGATTGCGCTGGTAAAGACCGATTTCAGGGGGGGATGGTGTTATCGACGCTCCCTCTGGCTGCTCACCGCTCTTTGAGAGCAAGGGCAAGGTCTTCAGCGGGCACTCGCGCGTGACAAGAAGGAAAGAGGCATTGCCGGGAGTGTGAACGAATGGTCATGCTCTCCTGTTCTTTTGGTGCCCTCCCTCTTCCTCGTGTTTCTCATCACCAACTCCGCCAACATGGCCATTCCAATACCACACACTCTCGCGCTCACACTCACAACCACACTCGTGCTCACGTTGACACTCACCTTGACTTGTGCTGTCACACAAATCGCCCATAACAGCCACTGCGTCCCGCCAACGGACACTGTCCCACCACAGCCAACTCCTGTCTTGATTCCGGTGCTTTCCAAGCGCACATATCGCGAGGTGAAGCTCCTGAAGCATCTCAAGTACGACAAGGTATGCTCCCGCTTTGCTTTTCTCTGCTCTTGAACTCCTGCTGACTCTTGTGTTCTTTCAGTGGTGGCCACGGTGGTGATGCGAGAGACCTCCTTTGACCTTGCGCCAGCGACGAGAGTCGCCTCTGGTCTGCTTGTTGACGCTTCCGAAATTGTCTCTCGCAGCACTCATGTCGGTTTGTCTTCCTCTTCCGTCCCGGGTTTGCTTTTCCATTGCCGATAGCTCTTCACTCCAGTGACCAAATTGTGCGGCGGCTTCGCTCGGTGGTATCTTCTTCGGGTACGACTCAGAATATATCAACGGTGTCACTGGCTCCAAGACTGCGGGATCGTGTTGTCTGACACATGCCAAATTAAGACTTCAAGGCCGTAAGTCATTCTGGTTTTCCTTGCTTTTGCTCAGGTCTTTGACTTTTCAGTAGTCATCGATGTCAATTCCGAATCCGCCATCGTCGTTCTGTACATGTCAAAGATTTGCCCATCCAGGGCCCTATGTGCCCTCGTTGCTAGATAGCAGGTGCTGGGGTGGTGCTGGGTCGTTGGACACACGCCAAGTCAAGGCTCATATGAGGCAAGCTCTCCTGATACTCCTCGCTCTTCGCAATTCGCTGACCATTCCGCAGCGATTGGTCTTCTCGAACGCATGCTCGAGCACTTCTGCCTGGCGCCTTACCACGATCTGACAGATGAGTCAGAGACCGAGGAGAATTTCGACTTGTCGACTGGCCAGGCTGCCTGTGGACACCTGCAAAATCATGATATAGGGGTGGAGGAGTTCGTCTGGCGATTTGAGAGTGTCAGTCTCTCGAGGGGGAGCCCGCACGGCTTTTATTTGGGCTTTGGGTTGCTGAACGGCTGTCTCTCATCACTGTTTGGTTTGTTCCCCCTTCTCTTGCGACCATGCCGAGCACCTCGCTGATCGTGTCCAGGTGGAAGATGTGCAGCTTCTTTCGGTCTTATCAGTGCAAGATTTTCCTCGGTAGTGTAGTGGCAGCGAAACAACATATTCGGCTCGGCGATTCGCAGGTCGACGGTGATGGAGGAGGATGCCTGCTGTCAGAGAGGAGTTCGAGAACCTTTTGCAAATTGTCAACAGCTGAATAATAGAATACTCGTTGTCCGCCATGTTGCTGTGCAGATTTTCCACTGTGAGTCTTGTCGTGGATGATGCACAGTCCACTAACCCGTTCCTTCCTCCAAAATTCATAGCGCTTCAAACACCCCTGTGAGCTCCAGCAAACCCTCGCCTTCTTCCATGCACGCACACAAATTTTCAGCAAACATGCCTTTCTTCACCGCAGCCACCGCATCTCTCCTATACAGCAAAGCGCTACGCCGTCACCGGCAACAACAGCGCCAGAGGCTTCTCGTCTGGCTGGAGAACGTGTCGCCAGCGTTGCCGCCCAGCACGCCGGGCCTCGAAGCCGCCATTCTGGGCCTTGTGGCCTACTACACCGTCAAGTGGAGAGTGAGGGAGACTTTTGGTTGATCGGCGGAGGAGGCCGAAGCATTTTGCTGAGAGGGGCGAAGTTCGTGGACACGGAGACAGATGTGAGGGTCAAACGACTAGAGCAGGAATGCCACTTCGTCTTACATACCCGTGGTGGTGTTTGCTCCACGTCCGCCAACGAGTCCCGGAGCCAGGCCTTCCGACTTCATCTTGCCGCTCATGCGCAGGTATAAGCTCGAGACTAAGGATTCCGACCGACCTTCCACCTTAAAGCAACAGCCGGACGACGAGTTCTGGGCCCGCATTCTGATATTTGCGTCGTCACCAGCCGCAGCGTACTGCTCCGAGACCTCGCTTCAGAGTGCAGACTGAGATTTGGAGGACGAGAGATTACAGCAGAAATATGTTGGATGTCGGCGCTCGCAGCAGTGAAGACCCAGAGCAGCCTCATCAGCGCCCACCAAGTCCTTGAACCGAATGGGGCAAGAACGGGGCAAAGGCATGAGGCTCTACATTGCCGGCGAGCAAAAAGACTCCGGGCCCGAGCATTGTGAGTCCCGAGATACGGACCGCCGTCTCAGCGCCCATAAAGTCCTCAAGAGCCGTCTACGAAGCTGTTCAAACTCCAGCGCGTCAGCAAGCAATTTCGCCACGCAATCCAAGGCCCGATCAAGCTGCAGCAGCTCATGTTCCTGATGGCCCTTGACACTTCTTTCGGCATTAGCACCATGCACAGAGCAGTGCCTGTCCTGTGGAGGCTGGAGTGGATGGGTGCCAACATCTCTGAGCGCGACAGAGACACAAACTGGCGGAGATAGCATGGGGATCTGCAATGCCGGCTAGCAAGTTCCATCACAGTGACAACTCAAAGGACCTTCAAGCTACGAACCGCCGTATCAGCGCCCACCAAGTTCTCAACTGAGAATGAGGCAAGGCCATCAGGATTCGCAAGGCGAGCTGGTGCAACTTCCAGTGATGATCAGAGAACCATACGCCTATGCTGAAGAGTCGAGATGCCGCACCGGCGTCCTGGAAGTCGAAGAGACGAAGCAAGAACGCAGTAACTTGCAAGGCCTGGAAATAGGGTCAGTGGCGTTGAGCAAAGAAGACACTAGCATGACCAGAGTTGGTGTGCAAGCCGCCGTATCAGCGTAAACCAATTCTACAACTCGGGGGAGCAACAGCTGGTCAAATCTTTACCATTGATCACGGAACACATGACTATCCATCTATGTGCACACAGGCACTGAATCGACGCCTTTGGGTCAGTGTGCAACGAGGATGCAAGATCTTGCCATGCTGCATAGCAAATTGCTTGAGTCTGCTGCAAAGTCCAAGAACTTGAAAGGCCATGGACATGGAAGAGGCGGAATGTAAGCGACAACGGCGGTAGGATGTGCGCTCATGTGGTGACTTCCGAGAGTCCGCCACCTGCACCCATTACAGTGCCAACATGAGTCTATCCCTGAGGTCCGGCTTCGAAATTGAATAGGGCGACGCAGGTTACGAGTGATGAAGCTGGATCAATACACTGCGACGATACGCTGCGAGGAAGAACATGTCGACCACGCCAAGCTCGGAAGCTTCTCTACTACAACGTTGCCCTCACTTCGCCTGTTGACGAAGCGACAACATACGTTCAGGACGGCAATGGTGGCAGGCTGCTGAAGACCGTGAGACTGAAGAGTTGATACCGTACACCACTGTTAGCTGCCGAAAGAGCGCTCCACCCGGATAGAGAATCTTTGCCGGAAAGGACTGCTCGTGGACGTTGGCAAAGAGATTCCCATGATACCGTCTTTTTTGACCTCCCTCACATCGAGAAAGCCATCAATTCGCGGAAGCGGTGGTCAGTTGTGCTTCCGAATGTAAGAGCTTCATTGGGATATCGAGAACATCGAGAGGTACATGGTGACCGAGAAAAGAACAATTCGTATACAAGAAATTGCCGGCGGCCAGGAGGTCCAGGGTCATGCTGGAGGAAGTCGAAACTCCCAGCGACTCGAAAAGAACCAACAAAGCGAATGGTGAGCCGGCACCATTCAGGCCGGTGAGCGGAAGAGGACTGATCAATCGAGAGGCTGGTGATGCTAGCTGCCGGAGGGCAGTACAGTACGCATGCGACTTGGTCACAAGCCGCCAAAGACCAGGCCACTCTGTCAAAACGTACACGGCGGTGGTTCTCCTGAGGCACCAATACCAAGCACCAGGATCTTCTACACGTTTTGTTCTCTTGTCACCCGGGAAAAGGTCCTTCTGCGCATGGTCTTCAGCTGGCGACCAGTATTCTCTACTGCTGAATTTGGGCCGGAGAGACCAAGTCTGCCGAAATGAAGTGTCAGCCGTGTCGAGAAGCGAAGATGGAATAGCCGACATACCTCTTTGAAGTAAAAGCTACGCCACAAGACACCTCCCCTTTGATTTTCTGCTTCTGCCCAATGGCCCGTTGCCGGATGCCGCTGAAGTTTTGCAGATGCATCTGCCGTCAGCATCGCCGTGGGCCGGCCGAAGCCCTTCACAGAGAAACGAATGTGGGGGGAATCGTGTCCTCAACGGGCAAGCGCCTCACGTATCGCTGGACAACACCGAAAACAACCTGCTAGCGCAAGTCGCATTCAAGGTCCACCGGGTCTAAAAGCGACGCACCGGCGGCGAAAACAGACCGGGCCAGAGCGGCTCAACCGGTGGGCATTTGGGTCACTCACCACAGTTCCGGAAAGACCAGCGACGCCGAAGGAGGTCGGCAGGCTTTCTTTGAGAAGAAGGCGAAGAAGAGTTGTTTGTCGACACTTATCTGGGAGTCCAACGGCCCTGCCTTCGGAGAAGCTGCAGCTGTGGAACTTTGGTGCTACGGCGGACGTCCACTTCATCGGCTGCTGAGCTGAGAGGATCCAGTTGTCGACCTAGTGTTGAACGGAAGTCGAGAACCAGGCCAGCGTTGGATGACTGGCGAGCAAATGCTACAGCTGCGAAGAGGTCTTGTCCTGGAAGGAAAACGAAAGGAATCATGGATTTCGGCCGACGATGCTGGAATCGAAAGGGATGATGTCGTGTCCTGTGGGATGGTATTGCGATTGATAAGGTCTCATCGTGGTTGTAGTCGAGCTTGGGGTCGGAGTTGTCGCCGTTGCGGATTCAGGAGAGGGAGGGAGCAAGAAAGCTTCGTGAAGCAGCCTTGGGGTGTCGTGACACCATCTGGCTCACCACCCGAACACCATTCAGCGCGAGCCCACTGATCACAGATCGGCCAGGCTGGGGACAAGTGACATCGAAAGAGATGTCAACAAGGTGGCTTCAGGAGCGCGGGCGGTCACCCAGAACCGATTCCACTTCAAACCTGATTGGATTGGCCAACCAAAGTTTTGGACGAAGTTTCCTCAGCCCCAAGGATCCCACCGGCAGCGGCCACAAGAGTGGCTCAACAGCGCATGAGATATCGAGCGCACAGGCAACCGTGTACGCTACAAAGACCCAAAGAGACCCAAAGTTCGACACCAATTCCACTCCGATCGTGCACCGCCGTGCGACTCAAGATCATGCAAGGGAGCGTCTTGAGCGTCAGTCATCTCGACATGTGTGACAAACAGAGGATGTCAACGACCACATGAGACGTAAGCGCACAGACTACCGTGTACGCTGTCTACCTCGATGAGGAGGCTTTGGCCAAGGTTTGCAATGGGCCATACACCGCATCGGCCATCGGACCCAATGCAACACCAGCCAGCAACGGACAAAACCCACAGAATCCAACTTCTCGACCGAATGCCACGTCGTCAAACGCTGGTGCACTGGCTGTCGAAGCAGGTCATCAGCAGAGCTCAGAGGCGAGGCTGGTATGAGGACCAGGAGAGCGCCCAGGAGCAAATGCCGGGAAGTGACGAACAGACCCCACGGAAATCGAGCTTTTCTGACCAATGCCACGTCGGAAAACGCTGAAAGCACTGCCATTCAAAGATCGATGTCGACAAGGCCCAGGGACGAGTCTGATAAGGACCAGAAGAGCGCCCAAGTGCCGGTGTCGAAAGCCAACAAAGCCGCTGGAGTGGATGCAGGGCTCGGTGGACGAAATCGCGAGATTCCTGGAACCAAGGAGGTACCTGGCCATCTCCTACCCGGAGGTCTTCACCGGCTGCGTGCTGCCCATGGACTGCCAAGGCACTCAACTGTGAACAGCAGCAGGACCGGTGGGAAGTAGTCGGTCTTACCCAGGTCCGTGAGGACCCGCGCCCATGATGCAGTGTGGAGCCGGGGCCGAAGCCTCACCAGCGAAAGGCAAGGGGAATGGGAGTGTGGGATTGTGCAGGTGCCGGAAACCAGCTGGACGTCGGTCTTCGGTGGTGGCGTGCGATGATGAATATGTGCCGGAATCCTGGTCTTCGTCGGTCTTCGGTGTCGAGGGACTGCAAAGAGTCAACCCCATAAGAATGGGTTGCAACGACAGAGTAAGAGATGTCGGGCCACAAATGGCTACACCGACCTTCAGCCGATGATGGAATGGACATCATCACCCATGGGACTGCCAGGGCAAGTCGCGCATGACAGGCTGGAATGGTTTGACCAAGAAGGACCGGACCAGAATGGCTCGTCGGTGTCTGATGAGGTTCGCTGGATGTCTTGACCTTTGAAGTGACTGCCAGGGCAGTCATCAACATCGGCTGCAGCGACTTACACCGGCCGGGAAGGCACTCGGATGCGCACCTTGGAAAGACCGACGAGGTCAGTCAACAAGGACAGCTGCTGTAGTGCACACCCGGGTCTGGCGACGCACCGGGGTCAGAGTTGTGGTGGGGAAGAACAAGGACTTGACCCTCCGGGACGGCCAAGGCAGTCAACTGGTAGGGCTGCAGGACTTCCGCCGGTCCAAGGACGCTCGGCTGCCGAGGAACAAGAAAGGAGACACTCTCCCCACCGGCGGCACGATGACCACCGATGAGGGGTGAGCGCCGAAGAACACCATGCAAAGTATCCAGAGATCATCGGTGAAGAAGCACGTATGGATTCGTAGGGTTGTGAGCCATCTGATCCTCAGCCATCCCGTGCTGTCCTCGCATGCGGTGAAGCCGGTGATGGCGGTCACGTGAGTGCACGGGCCATATGCCATGTTACGCCTTTGCTGGCGGGATGCCGGCGGCGGCGAGGTCTTGAGGGGTTCCTGCTCTTGCAAAGCCTCGTAAACACTGGTTTATCCTTGGACGAAGATCCCTCCTCTTGTCCTGGGTCTGAAGTCGCTGGCGCTGGGGTGTGGCAGGTATCTCGAAGATTTTCGGTGGGATCGGCGGCCGGCGAGAGCAAGACGAATGATAAGCCTGCTGCGTGTGCGTCAGTAATGCTTTGAGCGCCAAAGTGAGGTGTGAGACATACCTGATCGCTGCTTCCATGGTGCTGGCGGGTGTAGCTTGCCAGTTGTTGGGCATGCGGTGGTGCTTGCCAGGCTTTGGTGTGGTTATGCGATGGGGCTGCTGCGCTCGGAAGAGGCTGTCCATCTTTCCCAACAGCTCTGGAAAAGGTCGAAAGCTTGCATTCTCTGCTCGAGGTCGATACCAGGCGGTTGCCGGTGCAGCTACGGCCGCCAACGGCAGTATCTGTGGTCGGCGTGACACAGAAAAGCGGTGGTGGCACTTTGCAAAGTGAGTATGTTCAAGATGGGGATGAGGCGTACCTGACACTGGTGAGATGGTTCCCAAGACTCGGCAAAGTCACCGCCATGCCTCGTTGTCGCTGCGGCGCCGGGCTTCGGAGGTGCCAGGCTCGCCCTGCTGTGTTACTGCAAGCCCAGCAGGCGACAAGCAGGTCAGCGAGTGATACCAGAGCAGCATGTCACCTTCGAGAGCGCCCGACGCACGTTGTTGTCGCTGTCGGAGGAGGTCGTGGGTGGTGGAGGTGGAAGTTGTGCTGGGCTTCGGCGGCCGCTGCCTCACCCGGCCATTGCTCGCGCGCCCACCACTCGAATCTCACGAAACCTACATCAAAACGCTCAGATGAGCTTGCTGATGAAGCGCTGCGAGTGTTTGAGAGATGATGGATGGTGTTGTAGGTGTTGTGGTGTGGTGTATGGGTGGAAGAAGGAAGAGGTGAGGAGGAGGCAGCAACGAAAGCAACTTCCGCCGGCTTCGCGCCAAGACCCGCCTTCACCTCTTGCCCTGTGTGTCCGCCATTGTCACGACACCCACAATTGAGCGCTCCAACACGTTCGCCGAGCATTGCAAGCGATAGAAGATGGGCCGAACATGTGTTTGGAGGTTCTCTGGTGGAAATACACCATCCTGAAGGCCGGCGAGGGAACGCAGCAGGCACCACCACCGACGCCGCGAGCAACGACAGACGCTGCACAAACACTGAGCTCGGACCACAACGAGTATTGCCGCTTCCCTCTGAGGTGAGTAGAGCCGCAGCAAGTCACTGCCGAAGCTAAGACACAGCCGAGGAGGGGACGAACCGACATCAGATGCAGCGCAACGGCTCAAATCCTCGCGGCGGATACATGAAGGGCCATGGAGAGGGCCATGGAGAGAGCCAGGGCTGACTCGTACTGAGCGGCAAGTCGTCCGTGGTCTTCAGACAGCACAACATGACTCCGCTCAGCAGCTCCGCCAAGATGAAGAGCAAAACACCGGCACAAATACCACACAGGACGCAGGAATGTCGAAGGCCAAGCAACATTCTGAATGTATTTTGAGCAAATTCACAGCCTTTTTACTGATTACAGAACGAATCTCCCAACTGGCATTCCTCAGCTGATTTGGAGTATTGCTGATTTGCCGAAGCAAGGGGCTGCCTCCAGACCCTCTCGCCGACAAATGGCATCACCTCTCAGTATCGAAAACCAGCACTATCCTTGGAGAGCGACATTCGGCCAGCTCAAGCGATTTGAATGAGAACGTTTTCCTCGGAGAAGAGCGCAGCACCAAGGCAACATCTCTCCCTTGCCCTCTCCGGAAGTGCAAGATACCCAAATCGAAAGCCAGCGCAATCGATCGAGTAATTCGCTTCGCTCGCTCGCATGCCAGAATATACTGGCTGAAAGCCTGGAGCAAGACTGAAGGTCCCACACTCAGAAGCAGAGTCACTTGCTTCAAAGAGAAAACAATGGCGGAAATTTCCCAGGAGCTCAAGTTTGTAAGGTGGAATTCAGCAGTAGGGGACAAGCAAGGTGGTCTATCAGAGCTCAAAATAAGATGGATAAGATGAGAAAGCTACTTTCCATGGCTGGAACAGAGATCAATGGTCTAGAAATAGGGAGGTTGATGTATGATACTTGCAAGTAGAATCTCATGTATTTCCATCCTGCAAGCGTGATTGTTTCGCCACTGCATACGGTAGAAGCGAAGACTTGGCCTGTTTATTTGCACTATGCCTCAGAGAGAAGTAGATACAATAGCGACAATCCTGATGTCCCCAAGTCAGAGTCGCTGGAAACGGCCTTGCTCTCTCAGAATCTCAATCTCTCAATAGTAGAATTCTGTCTGCGTTGATGATGAAGTCTGAATCCTCCCAACCTCCCCACAGACAGTCATCCCATCCTGGCAGTGGTAACTCAACGCAGCCGTCCTCGCTGTGCTCGTAAGATTCCTTTGTCTCAGCACGGGAATGCTGCAACCAGGTTTGGAATTACAGTTGAACTCACAGCTTCGTTCATCGAAATTGCTTGTACGCTTGAAGGTTAGTGATGAGGTGATACCGGTCATGTAGATTTGCTTTCGTAGACAATGTACATTGTACTCGAGAAGATGTGAGATGATGCGTTTGACAAAAACAAAGGACATATCAGCCGAGTACTCCAAACACATTTATCCTTTGACCTTCTCAAATCACTTTGTCTGACCTCCCACTCTTCCGCAAATACAGCCGGTACCTTTCCACGGACCACCGCTCACCCCATCCCAGCGCCGGCGAACATTCTCCTTCGAATCTCCTCCCCCATAGCATCCCTCGTAGCTTTCGTCCGGCTCGCCGCATCTCGATTCTCCGCGGCCCTGCGCAGCAAATAATTCAAACACATGTGCATCTCCCCCCACGTTGTGCATTTGAACACCCTCTCCTTGACTCCCTTCTCACCTGCAGCGCCGGATTTGGCTGCAGCTAGTAAGGTGCACGACACTTCGTCTGCCATCCCTTGCAGCTGTGCGTAGACGAGAGGTGTGAGGGAGAGATCGTGCGAAGCTTGGGTTTGGCGCCAGAGGCGAGTCTTCGCGACTGTGGAGGCGTTGTGCGAGGCGATCACGACGTTGATGTCTTGCGGGAAGGGCGAGGAGAGCGTGGTCGATTGCAGCAGGGAGTTGTATTCTCTGTGGATGAGCGCGGAAGCGGTGGTGTCGTAGGCATGGTGCGTCGTCTCGATGTCTGGCCAGATCAATGACCTCTTTTCAGATCCCAGATATGCTCCTCGTACCAGCTTGACTCCCAGTGTGAAGCCCTCCGCCTTCGCGACTTCGAGGTGCCTGGCCAGCCATTGCGGATTCTGCTTGAGGTATGCTTGATACGTTCCGTAGATCACACTCTTGCCGTTGACATTGTATTCCCTCTGCAAGTCCATGCACCACCGATGAAACCCTTCTAAACTCCAGGTTTCCTCCGCCGCAGGCAACAATCCAATATTCTTATCCCTCGCTGCTCTACAGACAGCATGCATTGCTTCTTTCATCTCCTGACTCGGGTCCTCGTTAGTCTTCATCCTTCTCATCGCCGCTGGTCCCATACCACTCCACTTCAGCCCCAGGAAATCTCCCGGTGCCGCCATAGCCACCGTCTCCAGCATCCCGCTCCTCCAGATCTCTACATCTTTCCCTTCATCTGTCTTGGTGGTAGTATCCTTCAGCACTTCCAATGCATACTCGAGTATGACTCCCGCATATCCCAAATTCCTCATCTCCGAGGTTGTCTTTTGTATGCTCGCTTTGTCCCATCCAGCACAGAACTGCTTGTAGAAGGTTTCGTACAAGAGCTGGCGCATTACCGGATTTCGAAGATCGAAGATGGGGGAGTTGGATTCGAGCATTGCTCGGAGGAGACCTGTCGAGGCGGACATGAGGGGTGGAGAGGAGGAAATGCTTGTCATGAAGTAGGTTCGGAGAATCTGGGAGAGCGGTAGCTGCGACAGCGCTGGCGCACTGGGCACGGTTAGGGTAGCTTGGGACTGGGCGGGAGTTGTAGAAGCGGGCGTGGTGAGAGGTATCGAGGCATCTTTCGGCGAACTCGAGTGCAGTCGCCTTCGTGAAGAGGAATTCGTGTGTTGACTCCGTGCAGTCTTGACAAGAGCTGTGACCGCCGATGACGCATATCTCGTTTTTCGAGAAGCGAGCCGACTCGAATTCGCCACCGACCTCGCCGCTGCCATGGTAACCTGCCGAAAATCAATGCTCGCGAGATGCTGAATGAATGCGCCAAGAAGGAGAAGGAGAAGGACAAAGGAATGAGATGCTGTGGAATGTACATGTACCAACCGGGACCTCGCGGGCGTCGAGGAAATTTACGCCCTATTGATGTGTCTTATCAAATCTTATCGCAGTTCATTGTCCGACAATGAGGCATTGGAGAGCTTCGCTTATCGTCGGTCTTTCAATACCCCGCCGCCGCCGGCAGAACCCGCCGAAGCGAGGTCGGGATAGATGCCTGAGGCCACAATATCGGCGAAACTTCCGGGAGGTGCCGACTTCAGCTGGCTTGGGATAAGCAAGATGCTCGACGTCTTTCTCAGCGTCATGTTGCAATGGTGTTGCATTTCCCCGTATAACACATATGTATCCATTTATTGAGTATGTTTCGAACATTTCATCCAATTTTGGCGAAGGGCGTATCGTTTGAGACGAGCTCGTCCCGGCCGGTATTCTGTACTTCCAAGTCTTGGCGTTCCCAAAGCGCATGTTCTGAAGGGTATCACTGCACCACCCCTGGCCAGCCAGGCATGAACCTCATATTGAATCTTCCATATACGATCGCGGCTCGATAGGGTACGTAGCTTGATCGCGAGGCTGGATGAGTGGCCCAGGAATGGTCGAAAACCGTGCAAGTCCGGGATCATCCCATTCTGTTGGCATTCAATCTCTGTGAGGATTGTCGGTGCCGTGCTCCGGACATACTTTCGAGCTTCACCAGTTTCCGAGGCGAAGCATCACCTGCCTCATCACTTGTCGATCTTGCTCGCTATCCTTGTAAATGACGCCAATGATGCATTCCAAGGCTGAAAGGGAAAGCTGAAATTCAGCCGCGCTTTTAGCTATATAGATTGTATTTTCCACTGCCCCTATATCATCGGGCTTGGGCGAATGGTCGACTCGGATTTATTTGAATCTTCCATTCTTACAAGTTAAACTCGGATGATCTACTAGGTTGCCCAGGCGGCTTAGTTCTCAGGGATCCTGCAGTTGTACGGTGAGAGTCTTCGGGCTCCAACTTTTCTTTTGCTGCTTTTTTCGAGTTGGGTACCCTTTTGAATGTACTCCCCCGGGCAGACCGTAGGGTGACAAGCCAGTGCCAGAATAAGCGATCTCCTCTCCAAGGCATTGCCGGCGACGGCAAGGACATGATGAAAAGAACCAAGCTCTGCGAATAGCAGCGTCTGGCTGGAAAAGATTAGGCGAACCCGAGGGCTCTGGTTTGTACGCAGTCTGCCTTGGAGTTTGCCATGGGTGCCCGAGAGCGGCGAATACCATCAAAAAGACTGCGCTTGGGGTGTTGCGACCGACGACGGCCTTGCGGCGCGTGGTTGCAACACCCGCAGTTGATCTCCGACGAGCTTCCTCGTGCAAAGCCATGTTGGGTGCCGAAGCCCCCAAGGCACAAGCACTTTACGGATGCCGTTGTCGTAGGCTTGCGGTCACAATGGAAAACCAAAGTAAGCCGCCAACCGTTTGACGAAAGGAAAGAAGGAAGAAGGAAATTTCGAGCAGCGAGCTTTGTTTTGATTGTGCTGCCGCGCCGCTAGAGGGAACACCCGGCTAGCGCTCCACGTGATGTTCTCTGCTTCACTGACAACAACAAAGTGCTGCTGCCTCAGGCGCACGATCTATTCTGCGTGCGGCCTATTGTTTGTTGCACATGCTGGAGCAGGACTACGGCGTCGCCACGCTCAGAGTGGCTTCACCTTGATTGCAGTATGCTACGCGTCCGGTCAGAGATTCCAAATCGTCACAATCTCTCTTCTCCATGACTTCGCCGCTACTGGCAAAGGCACAATGAAAAGGTCTTGTCCGTCATCTGTGCTCACCGTTACCATGGGCCTCTAGGAGGACGGCTTCAGTTGAAATGACGGAGTTCACACGTTGGCCGCAGGCCTTGCGGCAGCGACCAGGTGCGGACATCAATCTGCGCCGATGCGTGGACAGGTACTACATTGAACGGATCGCGAACGAACCAGGTGGTAGGTCTGTATCCCGCAGGCTGAGCCAAAGGCTCCGCCATTGGGTGGCATCGGCGTTGTAGTTTAAGTGTGGAGGAGGAAGAAGAAGAAGAGGAAGCTCTGCTTTGCGAACAAAGAGGCGAGAGCTTTGACCTGGTGCAGGGCCGGCCCGCATGTTATTGTCCGCGTTGCAGGCCTGATTGTTGCCTTACAGACACAAAGAACGACAGCAAACGCTGATGTCTTTGCAACTTACAGAATCGGGACGTGGCTGCTAAACTCCACACCAGGGATCAAAAGAAACAAAGGCGGTGAGCGGCTGCAAAAGGAGGTTCACAAAGGATATGGCTTATGCCGTCTGGGTCATACCTTCGCACGTTCGGAAATGAGGCTGTTTGCCCATGATGGGTTGCCGTGTTGTCCACAGCCTCAGCGAAATGCAAAGAGAAAGCTTGCGTCCAGATAAATCATATTAAGCACGCCGAGATTCGCTGATGGGAAGGGATTTACATGTACATGAATAGATGCTGGTTAAGGGGAGGCACTACTCTGCTGTAAAGCGTCTACTGCGGCCGATTTTGCTTCTCCTTCTTCTTCTTCCTCTGGACAATCTCCGCCACCCGCCCTCTGTGATTTCCAGGCTGTTGGTGTCGCTGACAGAACACATCTCGAGCTTCCCCGATGCCTCCTTGCTTACATCTGCTTGGCCACGTTCAAGACATTGGATCTTCTTCGCAGGTCGGATTGAATTGCAGTCAAACGTCCGCACTTCATCCTCTCTGAATCTCTCACTCAACCTGATCAGAAGGAGTTCTCGTGAAGTCCAAGTCTGCAGGGTATCCTCGTGCAAGTTTTGTCCCACGCTTAAATGGCTCCGGAGGTGCCGGAAGAGTCTGTGGGCGTCGGAAGGGTTACTCGCTCACCACGCGGTTTGTTTCAATCTTCATCCGCTATGACGGATTGGTACCTCACGATCGCGTCCATCTAGCTGAGCTGCGTGCGGCTGCGCCCTGATCCAGCAAAGTAGTTTCCATCTTTGCCCAAAAGAGATCGTGTTGGGAAGAGCAAGCAGAATTGATGCTTTCATTGTATGGCTTGTATATTTCTGCACCTCCTTTACTACTTGCTTGTAGTATGATGCGATACAGATTGTGTCAAGGAGCCATAAGGCCGAAGTAGTCTAGGAGCCTGATTAAGGATGAACTTCTGCAGCGAATTACCTTTCAGCGGCAGTTGCAAATGCCAAAGGTCGAGACGAAGTCGTGTAGCACTTTGGGACTTTCGGATTCAAGACGCGATCACGAGTGACGAGCGTCACCCAGACGGACAAGAGTGTGCATGTTCTGGAAGCTCGTCGAAAGGACGAAGAGTCTGAGCTGCTAGAATCATTCTACCTCAGTCGTATCAGAGGAATGGGGAGACGATGTCTTAAAGTCGAGCACCCCGGGGAAGGTAGCCGCAGCCCGTGGCAGTCTCTGCGAGGATTGAATGCCCAGTCCGTCCTTGTTCTTGTGAAACTATTAACGTCTCTTGCCTTCTCAATTCATGGCTCAGGCTCATGCGGAACCCCAAATGCGCCTCGAAAATGTCCTCCCTCTTCGCGAATAAGTCTTTCCAGGCACTCTGGCGACCTGTTTCATCGGTCTCCAGGCCTCGTCGCTCCATGCATGCTCTATCTCCGCCACATCAATTCCGCGGAGGAATGTCAATCCTTGTACCTGCAAGACCGGATCGGTAATCGCAGCTGGTATCATCGACCAAATTCGCCCGAAATGAGGAAGCTGGGCGCAGGGGACGTGGGGGTCGTTGTGAATATAGCGAGCATCTAGCGTCTCGATGCTGTGATCTCGTTAACTGGATGCTCGGAGGGATGCGAAGTCTTACTTGCACAGTGACCGACCCTGTTCTCTAGCCCAAAATTCCCACACGTCTTCTGAGAGAAAGCTCTGGAGGATTAACGCGTCGCGTCCGAATCTGGCTTGCACGTGGAAGCTGGCGATGTACGTCCGGCGATCGTGGTATGAGATCCAGAAGATGGCAAGAATGTAGGTATCGACAGTAGTCTCACTGTCTCATAGTCTTCCCAGCGGGATTCACCAAGTGGCGGTTTGCCTTGGTTTGCCAGAGGAGCGCGCTGAAGGGCAAGCCGCTTGTCGAATCTACCAAGTGACCTAGAGTAAGGCCTGCGGAGGTCGATCGAAGCACTGGTGGGGGGAATTGCTGAGTTGAAACTCTGTAATCTGCGTGAGAAGCTGTGAGAACAATACCAAACTCCAATTCTGCCCACTTCGAGTCTCGGCTCCACCCGGCCGACATTTGCCCAGACTCTTCAAGCATATATAAAGTGGAAAATAAGCCACGCTGGACACTTGACCAATCGAGAAGGCTATTCGAACGCCTAAATGCACGGGTAATAAGCAAAAGCGGGCTGGCAATTCCGCTTTCCTTCCTGCAATCATTTACCCAAGATTGACGCGCCTCCACCTTCGTCTACAAGAAGTCCAGAATGCTCACGATAACGAACCAACAACGGAGCAAGTGTGATATGAATACTGCGCAACAATTTTTTTTTTTGGAGATAGGTTACTTCCTATAGTCAAAGCAAAAGGCTGGTAAGTTTTGCTTGCTACCCATTCCAGCAGCCCAAAGCCCGCTCGAGCTTCACGAGCAGAATCTCCTCAGACAGCTGAAAATTAGATGAAGGGCTTACAGAGGAACAGACTCGTAGGCCTCAAATTGATAATTCTGTGTGTGTGTGTGTGAAATGATATATGAAAGTAAATATGTTTGTATGCCTGATCCAATCACCAAACTCAGTCGAGTAGCCTTTCGGCATCCAAGTCAGGTCCCACAGTCCCATCACGCCTGTTTGAGAGGCTTTAGATCTAGCAACTTATCAATCGCCTCCGCGTCCGAAGTCTCCACAGCCATGAAAAAGGACTGGTGTCTTGGGCGGACGTGCAGAGGATGTGTAAAGCAAACGCAAAGGGGGAGGGGAAAATGTGTGGTTGTCGTAAACGCGTATGAACAACCTGACCTTGTCAGGAGTCATCTTCGAGGGCCTTAAAAGTGCGCCTTACACGAACCACGCTTTGAGACATGCTACTTCAGCAGCTGTTCTTCTGCCCCGATTGTACACTGCCAGACAGCTATGGTAGCGAGAGGCTGTTGGCTTTTGTGTATGTGCTCGTCTTGCGCGCACTCTTCTGGGGCCTCGTCTCGAGATAAGATTGGGTGTCGATTGCGCGCGTCGATTGTGGTGGTGGTTGGACGCGGTGGTTGGTCGCGGCGGTCGGATGAGGATGTCGATGTCGAAGTGTGATGGTAGGATGCTAAGGATAAGGATGGTGGCGAGGGTAGAATGAGGATGGGTGAGGTGATAGAAAGATATAATGATGTGGTTCCAGGGTATGGTAGTAAAAGTTGTGATGAGTGGTGGATGTATGTGAAGGAAGCGCGGAAGCGAAGAACAGATGGAACGGTCAATGGCAGGGATTAGAATCGTTAGATTTTAACGCCAAGGAAAACATGGCTGGTCGTATTAGGTAGGCACGTGGTCTGCTGTTTGTTTACACGAGAACTTCAACTCAGTTCCTCTCTCCTCCACACATCGGCCCTACGACATCACCTCATGCACAATTCTCTGTGTTCATCTTCTCACAGGCTCACAGCAGAGATGACTATACACTTTGGGCCCGATGATGGGCGGCATCACTCGCAGACCGGATAGCTCTTCGTTCCTTGTCTGTGCAACTGTCGCCCGATATTGACGCACCTCGACTTCGCTGCTGATAAGTCGTCGACCATGATCAAGCAGCGAAGTAGCCTCACAGGTATGAGCGTGCTACAGCTTTTGTATTTCTTTCAAGCGTTGTAGATATCAAGAGACTCATCGTCTTCTACTCCGCCATATTCAGTGTCTTCGGCCTCTCTTGACGCGTTCTTAGCCTCTTCTTCCAACCAGTGCTCCAGTCCTGCAGTACCACAGTGTGCGGGTTTGCCCAGAACTGTTGTACACAGGCCTCTCACCCGATCACTTTTCTCCTCGTGGTCCCCGTCGCCATCTACGGAGTCTTTGCGCCACCCGCGCGGTTCCAATGCCCTCGTTTACCATTCCCCCTTCGAGCTGCACCCTATATCATCAGCGAGCCCAGCTCCAGATCGCATCTAAGGATGTCTACAGCTGCAGCACTGCCAAGATACGACGTTCTTCCGCTGCACATCGAAGAGAGCTGCTCCAACAAACAACCCGTCAGGCCCCGTGGAAGAGGCAGTGCCCAGCACACGAGAAGATTCGGAATGTCTGGTAAAGGGAGGATTGCCCGCGGCGAAGACGCAGGAGGTATATTATTCAAGACCAGGCCAGGATGAAATGGAAGTAAGAGTCAGACTGCGAATTTCTCTCGTTGTGGAGGCAGATGCAGGTCATAATCGCAATGAAGACCTCACATCCAGGGCGGACTGCCCAAAGGAGAGGCAAGGCCGCAAGGGAGTAGGAAGACGATTCTCATTTGCAGTATCCTTGTTTGGTGTGCCTCTATTGGCTTATTGACCACCTACAGGCAGCTCACTCGCTCTGGCAAATCGCCCTACGGCTTTCTGATTCTTGCAACAGAAGAGCATGAGCTACCCACCAAGGGCTTTGGTCCATGGTACGGGTCGACAACAAGGGTGTGGCGGCTGTGCTCCCCAACGCTTGGATTTGTTTCATTCTTGCAGAGATGCCACTCAACAGGAACCTACGCCCGAGAAGTTCCATCATAGATGACGGTCAGCTTTCCACCTGAGCGGCATGGCTTTGAAATTTGGTAGCGGAACTTCAAATGGAGAAGTGGTGAGTGATGGAGAGCCGGCAGAAGCGGACCCGAAGCACCAGACTTGCCTGGTGCCGCTATCGAGTCACTCATCGATGCTGTAATTCGAATAACATCTCGTATCACACAGCAATCCGAAGTGTTTCTCTTCTAAGCAGCCGCTCAGTCTGCGTGGTCTTGCGTGGCCTCTTTCCATCTACTCTCCAGACATCACCTATCCTAATACTTCCAGATCAGGTCCTTCCTCGCTCTCACATACGGCTCGTCCAAAGTTTCAGTTTCTAGATCTACTGGCCTTGTCTCGTTCCTCTCTTTCTCACCAATACCTTCCTCGATGGACTCTAGCACGTATCGATTAGCCACCATATTCCGACATCCTCCTCCCGGTCCTACATCAAACGTATGCTCCTCCTAACCTTTCTCAGATCACGCCTTCCTATGGATTGGTAGACACGACCCTAATTACTTCAGTCTGTACTGTGGTGCTTTGAATCTTCGCCATGGAAACTGAATCGGAGTACCTTTCTCATTCGTGGCGCAAGTATCACTCCGGGTCTGACGATGGTCGACATGGTGATTCAACGCATTTGAACGATCAGCAGCTGTTGCGTGCACTGGGCTTGACAGTCCGCTGCCTGTTGTTCCACAAAGGAGTCGTCGCCTTTGCCCTGCAGTGCCTTGACGGGCGGAAAGCGCCAGCGCCTGGCGAGTTTGTCGTGATCATGGTGAAGCACAACAAGAGGAAAGAGAAGCAGCCAGCCACCACGCCGCCGGTGGAGCAGTAGGATACCAAGCCCGGACAGGCTGTACCACTTACGCGCATGGTGAACGGCACACAGCAGCCCTTCTTTGTGCAGTGGGACCCGGAAAAGCACGCTCAAGGTGGCAAGCCCATGGTTGTTCCTAAAGGCCAGAAAGCCGACCTCAACGCCGCCGCAGGCCAGCCATACTACGACGTGATTATGGCGCGTATACGCCCTGGCAACATGCCCGCTCCCAATTGCCAATACTCCGAAATCCGTAGAAGCCTCCCGACGGTCTTGTCATCCCTCTTTCGGGGTATGTCTTGACGCTTCATCTCCGTTGAGTAGTCATTTGGACTTGCGCTGTGGTAGTATTTTCGTGATGAAAATCTTGCAAGGGGCTCGAAATGGAAGTACTTGACTGAGACTGCAGAAGTGTAAGGCCGCCAGACCACACGATACAACAGACGGCTTCCTGATGTCCGGGATCCGGGTACGTCCCGGGAAAAGTAGACACCGCGTGACGGATAATGGATCCATCTGCTGTCTCATTGCGAGTAGAAATTGTGCTCAGCTCATGATCAAGTGGCTGTTCATGATCTTATCAGCTGACGACGGTATCGCGAACAGGGCTGAGCTCTTAATTGATCGTCTTGCTAAGCTGGCCTCTTATTTATACCGTAGTCCCGTAGCACCGTGTTCATTCTTCGTCTGACTCCGCGTCTTTGAGGCTGCCTGTTTGTACTCCTTCCACGCGTCGTTCTTCGCGTCTCGCCGCTGGCGCCAGCGGTCCGTTGGAATATGTGAAGTAGATCGAGACTCTGTCCTGTCTGTGACCTACGGGTTGCTCCTATTTACCCGTCAATTTTGGTAACATTGCTGCAATCGTCATTGCGGCAATATTATGCATTCGAGCGCATGTGTCTTGTTATATGCTTGGGCCTGGTCTGCTCATTCGCGTCCTACAAGCCACGGCGCAACTCTTGGTTGGCAGCACGGCCATTCGATTGAGACATATTTCCAATTGCTCCAGACGTTTCCCTCTCTGCTGCCAGCTCACTAGCTCCGAGCTGTCTGTGTAGCTCCCCAAGAGATGGATATACAGCGTCTTCTCGACTGCACTGTGTTCATGGTCAACAGAGGCTCAGCATGGATTCGAACGCGAGGAGAGCGAAGCTTGGAAGATCGACTGTACTGTCAACACAGTCTTCGACTTCTTCGTGCTCAGTCTATGACTCGCGCATATGGATACGGAGCCGTTCCAGGATTGCCTGGATTGGATGTCTGTCTGCCTCCGCACCAAAGCAGAAGCATCTGCTCGCAATCTTAATGGACTCATAGCCTTCCGTCAGCTTCCAGTAGGTGCCGGACATCCTTCGGTTGAACGCGTGGTCCTTGATGATAATGAGCAGTGACAGGCGTCTCCGGTTGCCACGCCGGGCCGTATCCACGTCCATCTCCTGCCTCCTACTCTTGCATCGCACCGCACTCCCCACTCTCTTTCAGTGCCTCTCCTCATACCCAATTGTAAGATCTTCTTCTTCGCGCCAGGGAGAAAATGGTGGAGCTTCGTGGCGGCTTTCGCTTGAGACATCCGCGTAAGTTCCACACGCGCAAGACTTCGCAAGTTGCAACGTGTCGCGTGAAGTGCAGAGCGCTTTTTCGTGGTCTGCTGCTTTCTCGCGCTCGGAAAAATTTGTGTCTCTCTTCGTAGATTGTCCTGCTGCTTTGATGGTCGGGCACTCACAATGAGGGAGGAGTTGAGATAGGCGCGCCGCGCGCCGCGCGTCGCTGAAGCTGGTGTATTTGATGGTGGGTAGCCGCGCTTCGCGTGTAGTCTCGTCGTGTGGGTATTGGTGCTGCTGAAACAATCAGTGAAGTGTTTTCCTTGAGGTGACGGCGTGGTTTGGTGTTGACGGCAGGATGTGGCGATTGGGCCAGATTCTAAGGCGAAATGAAATCGAGGTGGTGCTCATGGAGTTGCGCCGCTGCGCGTTTGTCAAGTCTTCGCACCGCGGGAAAAGGACACTGTTCGGAGTGTTCGGGCGGTCGGTGGTGCTGATTCTTTCTGCAAGCGTTCAAAATGCGTGTTGCCGCGCATGATTGTGCGTCGAGACCAAAATGCTGTGAAGTCGGTGGTAAAATAACGAGACTTCGAGATGGAAAATCCGACGCTCGCAGTGCAATGATCAATTATTCAGCTATGATACAACTGGCGATGATGAACAAATGACCCTCAGTATTTTGGTGCTCTTGACCGAACGAAGAAAAGGGCGCACTCGAATGTACAAACGATAGAAGGCAAAAAAGAGGCGGTCTTGGTACGACTCGACGCGCACCGTAATATCAATTTTCGAAAAAAAAATCGATTCGAACAGCAAAAAGAGTTCCACCCCGGTGGGTGTACATCTCTCCTGTGAATCAAATGTTAGCATCACCGCCAAATGGATCTATCTACACTATCTAAGCAGAGCAGCAGCGAGCAGCAGCAGCAGGGTTAGTAGGTTAGTAGTTAGTAGCAGGGTTAGTAGGGTTAGTAGAATCGTCGGAGCGGTGTCGTAAACCACTTTGCTATCCCTGCGAGTATGTTAGTAACGAGAGGCACACAGTAAATTGCACTTATATACTTGCACGGGACCAGTCGCCGAAGCTTGCCAGACTCTCACTTGCTCTCCAATGCACAGCCACCACGTACTCGACTCGCGCACACTGAGGAGCCCGGAGCCTCGCAGGGAGCTTGTTCATTGCTCAAGAGTCTCGTCAACTGGCGCATCTCCGCGTCACTGCGGATCAGCCTTCGTGTTGTCATCGTGAAGTTTACACCAACACATCGGACAGACGAGGCGAGCCTTCACCATAACTATTGTTTGCTACATCCTATGATACATCACATCGCGTTGACTTGTAGCTAATGTGTGACTCGTGAGCAAGCAGTCACGCATCGAAGAGCCTCGATTTGCACAATCACCTTCGCGCCTCGTCTGGGCGAGAATCCTCTTGTACACGCGGTCAGATCTGCTATTTGCTTGGACTGTTGGACATGCACATCCATGCCTGACAACTGGATAGCAGAGAGTATATCGGGAACTATCTGAGCGGCAATTACACTGCGAGATGCCCTGAGCCGCTTCAATGCCTGATCTACAGCAGTCGCGCCCTGTATCGTCTCCCTGGTGACAGACTCCTTCGTGATAGACAGTTTGCTCCAGCAAGCATTACCCATCTAATCAATTCTTCGGTCGCACAGGCATTTCATCGCCCATTGAATCCTCACATAAGGGAGTTTTAGAATTCTCACTGTGTCCAGAAACGACCTCTTCAGGTTGCTTCCTTGCGACCAGCGCCACACGTACCATCGTCTCGAGCTTGCAAGCTTCCGTAGTCATCAGCCATGACGAGCAGCTGCACCGCTGGTCGCCTTCATGCGCCTATCTGTATCCGCTTTTTTCATGTCTTCCGCTCTTTCATTCCTGCAGAGTTCGAGAGGCGCGCTCCTTACCGGTAAGCGGGCGATGTTGCTGTCCTGAAGACGTGGTCGAAAGCAACGAGGATGTCTGCGCGACCTCACTCAGGCATCCAGGCATATCGCATTGTGACAACAATGACTAAACGCTGCAGCGCGCCCCTGAATTCCCGCGCCCTCACCTCGCACACCGCACAACACACCACAACAGCATTCCTACGATCAGCGACGCAACCAATAAGCAGCACTCTTACCAGCGTGCTGCCTTCGCGCATTGAATATTGACTAACAACTAAGCAATCAGCCTCGTCACAGCAAATCCACCGCCAGTACTCCTTATACGGCGGCGCCACCGGTAACATCATCTCCTTTCTGAGACTCAGCCTTCAGTCGCGAAGAGCCTGCAGCAAAGCTTCATCTGACCTATATTACAGGCAACTCGATCTTGGCTGTCCTCCATTCCCCTCGAAGCCTCGAACGTCGCACTCGTGCCAATGCCGACCGTCGACAATAACCAGACCAGTCGTACGCAATACACCCACGTCTGCCAGACAAAGCAGCAATACCCCCGGCGGACTGTGCCGCACACCGAAGTATGGAGACAAACACTGGCCTCTACTTAAGGGCATGGATTGTCTAGTCGCCGGCATTACACCAGTTCAAAAACACTCTATCGTCCACCTCAGGTCGCCCCTGTTACCATGCAGGCGACTCTTTCCGTCTCATTCTGCACAAACAACCGTCAACGCCGCGTCTGGACGCGTACAGCCCATCACACCCTCTCAACATGACCGCCTACCTCGGTCGCAGCACTAGCTTGGGTCGATCCGCTGACGCGTACATCCTTCGCTGCTTGCAGCTGCTCAGGTTAGTACAGCCCAGGCACCGCCTTACCACTGCAGTGATGACACCACTCGCTGTACATACTCATTCCAAACAGAGGACATTACGCGTCCACAACATGCCGAAACCCGGTATCTGAGCATCACAATCATACCCCCTTCCATAAAATAAAGGCGCTGTGGAACGCAGCTAAATACTGCACAGGTTTTCTTGTCAGCCTCTACCGCTGCTACCATCCGCAGCTGGGCGGGTATCAGCTCTCGCCGCCGGTCTACACGCCTGGGCCCTGCGATCCTTATGGACGCCTCGAATCGACGGTCGTAGGCAACACAGACAAGGGAATCCCTCCCACGAGGGCATCTGCGCCTGACGTTATGCCTACGGTCCTGACGTTGCGGAAGACGAGCGAATGATACACACCTCCATACCTGCGAAAGGGTATCAATCAGCCGCATTCACTCGACCTCTTGCGTAAGAAGATCTTCGGCCCTTCTCATATCCCAGGTCAATCTTGAAGGCTTCCAAAGCACGGAGACACGGCGGACCTGGGATCCTCTCCATCATCCCTGCGTCAAGAAGCATTCCCAGCCTGTTCCTCGCCAGCCGTAACGCGCCTTGTCCTTTCTACCCAAGGTATTCGTGCCAGACTCATTGCTTCCTCAACTACAGCATGTTGATACGTCCGCTTTTTGAAGGAAAACACACCAACAAAGACGATGCTCTCTTGCCTCGTGTGATCGTGGAGAGGCAACACTTCTGGCGCCATTCCTCGTCGGGGCGGCCGTTGGCGTAACCCTGCAGCATTGGCACGGTGAGTGGATTAGGTCCTGCTGCGGTGACCATGTCCGCGAATGCGCCGACGAGGCGTTGCTCTGCGACTGCTGCTTCGACAGCGGCGTCTTGCGCGATTCGGCTCTGAATCTTCGCCAAGGCCCAGCGATGTGCAACCTCGTTCCTGTGTTTCATGAGCGCGTTGGGTAACATAACCTGCGCGAAGCTGGTGTCCGGCGGAGCAGTCGGGTTGGCCTGCCAAATTTTGTTTGCGGAAGAAGAGATTCAGAGAATCGCTGGGGAAACGGTGGGAGCTGGCCGTACTGCTGGGCTGGAAAAGGTGCCAGGCAGTGCACCGAAAGGTGCGGAGACTGCATCACCTGTTGACAACGCTACGGCGGTAACCTGATACAGCATTCACTTCAGAACTTGCCGAGCAGATCATCTTGCGGATAAGGACTGACCATTTTGCTGCACAGAAAAGTCTTCTCCAAGCTCTGATGATCTAAAGTCTCGGCGTTGTACAAGCAGGCGATGATGACGGCACGCTATCACGAGACTGTGGCTTCACCTCGATGCCCGCATGGCTACCTTCCAGGTGAGCGTATCGCATTCCTCTCCCCTGTTCGATGCGGATAATGAAAAGACCTGATACACATATCTACAACGTCGATAGCAGACGCGCTCCCCACTGGGCAGTCCAGTCAGCCTCGCCATCATGCGGACAAACAGAAACTATGACCTTATTCTGAGACAGGTCAATTGCACAAGCAATGTTTGCTAGATCCAGAGTGGAGCACTGGAGCCCACTCCTAATTTCTCCGCAACGGTATCACTGGGCTGCTGAACGCCCTCCCAAGCTGCAACGATGCTAAGATTTGGAGGAGAGTTTGGGACTACGACATCCTCTTTCTGAATGGCTCGATTTAAGGTGAGCGACCCATTTCCAGACCCCTCCGGGCCCTCCCAGATGTACCACGATGATATTCAAACAGACAAATCGATGCGCTTCTTGTATAGGAGCCTCGCAATGTTGAATCATTCCGAGATTCTGATCAAGCATCTGTCCCTCATATCCGCTCGCTCATGCCAAGCTTTGAGAATTTCGCTGACACGCTTCTCTCACAGATGCAGTACCCCGAGAGATCAGAACTCTAGTCGTTCCGAAGTACCGGTCCAACATCGATAGTCAGTTGCTCCTTTTCCTCTACCATCTTTTTGCGATCAAATCGGCCTCCTCTCTCGGTCATTATGATGGAGCCTTGATGAAGGCTTGATGATGACCGACAGAGTCCCACAACGCCTGAGATTACCGTGCGGTCGCAGTGCATGTCGCGAATGAGAAAGAGAGGCTGTCTGCGCACCAAATCTGGTCGAGAAGGCTTTCACAACCACGCGGCCCAGCAGGACGTTGCCAATGACGAACCAGCACACCGCCCGCCCACGTCAGCCTCCTGTCTACGCCACACCGTAGGAGGCATCGGTCGCCGGCAGCTCCACAAATCCTTTTGGAGTGCAGTGAGCCCCGAATGCAAAAGAGGAGGACACTACACAACGCACCAGGGAGGATGAAGTGGAAGAAGCTACACTGCACGCTGAACAGAAGGAAGCCCTGGCTGCACAAAAGAAGGGACTCGCACAGCATGCCGAGGATACCGCGCAACGCACCGAAGAGGAGGACGACCGCCACGATCTCGGTCTGGTCTCTGAGTTCCTGACTGCAACCAAGCTCAAAGAAGTTGACAAGAGACTGATCTGACAGCTTAACACGCGATACGCCGACTTCCATATCCCCGGACGCCACTATCACCCGTCAGGGTTACCGCGGACACTGCTCCGGGTCGTATTTGAGAGAAGTAGGCTGAATGTTATTTGTAGTGACCTTCCGCGCTCCACTGACGGACACCGAAGGGCTTCCTTGAGATTGATTGACTATGCTGTGCGGCAAGCTATGGTGAAACGAGGAGAGATGTAGGTCAGCATTCTATCGTGCCAGTTGCTGTTCGCTTGTGGACGAGGGTCCTGGAAATTGTAAAAACTCCATTACTGCGTCAAAAGCCGTTTTTTGGCGGGAAATTCCAACGTGCGGGCTCCTTTCTCGTCTCAGAGACGCTCCCCTAGTCAACTTCATGCTGTGCCCCGTCTTCCTATCCAATGCCACAGGGATTCCAATTACAACGGAGGTGATGATTTTACCTTTCGACAGCGTTATACTTGGCTTGCGTAGTTCTGTCTCCACCTGTCACAGACTGAGTCAGCCATCCAAGCATGTAAAGGCGGACTATCTCCAACATACCCGTACGTCACCAGCTCGCAAAAGACAGTTCAACGGCATGGTCGTTGCTGTTGTTGATGGAGAGGCGACGGTCAAAGAAGTTGGTATATCTAGCTGATGGTGGAATCCGCCGAGAAGCCTCGTCATCCCCGGAAGACCCACGTCTGGTCGAGGTGTTGGAAGAGACCATTTGGAGCGTCGCCGTCGTCTGTGGGCGCAGCTGAGCGAGCGCCTCCCGCAGGATGTAATGAGCCCACTCCAATCGTCTCAGCGTTGAGCCCATGTCATGTCCAATACAATCTGTTGTGGAGGGGGAAGACATAGACATGGCCCTCCTCTCCACGTCCCAGTGGCGGTACCTCTCTCGGACTCCTTGGTATGATGCGGACGTGAAGGAAAGCGAGCTTCATGGGTCGCAGCAAACTGACACTCTCTTGCCATTCATCCTCGTTCTCGGCTTCGTCCATCAGCCACAGATCTCGTACTTCCCAGCGGAAGAACCTGTCCAGAAATGAGCTGCAGAACTCGTCTTCCGCCATTATTGTATCACTCAAGACAGAGCGCCATCTGCCCAGATCCACCTCAATTCTGAGCTCTTTTCGAAGTATTTCTTCACCGCTTTAGCCAGCTGCTGCCAGAAGTACCTGTGCCCGCCAGGCCCGGTAAGCTCGAGGAAGAGCCGCTCGCGCCCCGTCTCCTTGCAGTCTCCTTTACAAGAAGGGAGCTTCGACCGCGAAATGGCATTACGTTGCCATAGCTCGTGGAGAAAGGCCGAAATGCGGTGTCTGTATCTTTGTGCCACTGCGAATCCATGTCGATCATCACGTCCATGAGAGATTCTCCTTCTGCACTAGCCTCGAATGTTGTCACGCCGTTAAGCTGCGCTCCGCTTTCGTTCCCAGGCCGAGAATCCATGCGAAGGATATGACCATGTCGGACTGCATGCTTCGGTTGAGTATCAAGGTCCAGAGACCTTCGAGTACCAACACCGTGGTGGAATGGGAGCGCTGCTCTCCGTTATCGAGCTTGCACTGGAGTCTGTTGGGGTTGCCTTCAATAGAAGTCCACAAGGCATTGTACTGGGGATATTTCGTGGATCCACACTCGAGTTGTGGGATTTCTTCTTTGATAGGCCGCCAGTTGTAATCTTTTCCCAGCTCTTCCTGCGATCCGAGCCGGATGCGCAGTGGTGCAGGCCGAGGCGCGCTGTTTTGGGCGGACATCTCGAAGGTACTGGTGTGTTTGTGACAATGAGAAAAAGTTCGCTTGCTTGAAGGAAGACTCAACTGCGTCTGGTTCTGAGGGCCGCCTGGACCACCGACTGCCATGAAATGAACGCACGCGCAGGGTTGTGCCACAGGCCCACCCGTCCGCTCGTTCAAAAGAATAGATCTGGGTGACTTGAACTCGCAACACCTGACAGCAGCCGTACCACGATACCCCAATACATGTCATAGGTTTGGAAAGTTTCGAGCGATATCGAGAGCAAGATTGCGGGCGCGAAGCTGTCTTTCAGAAAACCCAATACTGTAGGATTTTCTTGGCGCAATATTATCAACCAGGGATACTGACATTTTGTTTGACTAATCTAGCCTGGCGGACAGCTCTCAGCGAGCAAAACTGTATTGCCAAATCGTTTTGCGATGCTATGTTAGACTCAAAATGTTGCTCTCTCACGCCGCCGCATCTTAGCCCTAAGCGGAAGAGCCCAAATAGCTTGATGCTCGTCCCCTGCATGTGGTTGCGCCCTGCCACTGAGCCATTCCAAAATTATTCCCACCACACGCACTTTCTCGTTGCAAGAAGAGCAAAAAGGACGGACGCACTCCCTCCTACCGACGGGCAAAAGAGCAAAAACTCAGGCGAGAAGCTGTCTCTGAGAAAACCCTGTATTGCAGGTATTTTTTTGTGGATGCCGCAGAAGCAGACCCCATGCCGTTTGGCGGACGGCGCAGTCCCTTCCAGCAGCTCCGAAAAGCGACATGAAAAAAGCACTTATATGATTTGGTGGAGTCGGCCGAGTTTTAGCCGGATTGCATGTGATGCGGTCGGCTTTCCCTCCAAAAATAAGAATTTGCAGGGATCGAATCTCTCATGCATTAGTCATGAAAGTATTTCGATGTATCGCGAACAGCCTGGTTGTCCCATCGTCGACATGGTTCGCGTTCACGGTTCGCTGATCACCGAAGACTGCCGCGACTGCGTTTGAGATTCGCCGTAAGCAGCAACAGTGGTTGGAGTTGTAGATGAAATCGATCACACCTCACGACTGTGTTAAAGCTCACAAGGACACAAACAGGTGGAACGCATCGTTGCGTTCCAGATCGCTTTTGCAAAGCTCAAGCGTCCAGCTGGATCTGAGCATTCGGGGAAAGTGCGTTGAGGAGATCGTGGCCAGGATTCCAGTTTCGCTGCCAGAAAGCCCGCGGCTGGGAATTAAATCCAATGGAATGATTAACCACGCGCAAAAGCATCCGACATGTTTCAAACTTGAAATTTGCTGTTGGAAGGGAAGCAAAAGAAAGAACCAATCCTGGAAAAATGAGAATATTCGAGAATGCTCGCAGTTCCAAGGCCTTAATACAAGTATCGAATTTGCGGGTTGAAGTCTTCACAGAGCACAAAGGAGCAAAAGTTGACCCACGGCGACTGGTGTTCTCGGGCATAACACTCACATGCCTATGGTGAAACTTTTCGACGTGAAGTCGAGCAAGATTTTTCACCAGCCATGCCTGCGAGAGGAATCTGGAGGCGGTCAATCTGGTCTCCTCGTCGCTCTCCGTAAGTTCCGGAACAGCCAACGTTTCTCCTCCACCCTTACCGCCTGCTCTTCGCTTGAGGAAGGTAGTTAGGACGGACGAAGAGCGAGCGATACCTGCTTCGTTTGAAGTAGCTCTTTGACTGGACTAGGACTAGACAATGTTAAGTGCTCTTAGAAGATGTCGTATTAATAAGGAGCCTAGCGTTTCTTTTTCCTGTCTTCCCTGTATCCTCGTAAATCCTATCTCCCATGACTTAGGTACGCTAACGCTTAAGCAATCCAACGCTTGATAACACAGATGGGAGCACCGGTCCCTACAGAGAAAGTGTTCGCGCAGTAGCCTCTATAGCAACTATCCTTGCAGTAAACATCGCCGTTGCATGCATAGAAACAATTGCAGTAGCCTGACGCACAGCCAAAGTCTAGATAGGAGAAGCATTTGTTAGCGATATCGACACTACTATGTTGCTTTAGAATCGAAGAAGAGCTTACCGGCGACTGTGAAGCCAGCTAGCCCAATAAGAGCCGTTATACAGGTAGTAAGGCGCATCTTCGTCGGTATATCCTGGCGATACTGTTCGGGTCTGAAGTTTGGTAGGGAGGGATTTAGCAGGAAGAAATCGATGGCGAGAGCTGGGTGCAGGGACAGGAGTCATAAGACACGTTACGACCAACTTTCGACCATTTATCCTAGAATGAACCAAACGCTAGGCCTACCGTAGCCTCATCGCGCACGAAGTTAGACTTGAGACCTACCCCCTTACAAGAGCCCGACCTCAAGGCCGCCACTTCGGCCTCAATCCATGCTGCGGTCCAGACTGCTCGTCCATGACATTTCCACTAGTGAGCCTGACTTTAGCACAGTCTGCAGTTTGCCTGAAACTAGCGCCAGACCGTATAACTCGGCCTATCTAATTGGCAAGTGGATCTGGGCCGGAGCAATTACGGATTAACACCCCTGTAGCTGGGCGGAGGTCCGAACTAGGTAGGCCGACGTAATTTAGGTAGGCTCAGCTCTTCCCGCCTTTCTCTTCTGTGAACGCGTACATACACAATATTGCAAACCACGCAATATACCGTCGAATATCCTGGAAATGAGCGCTGCCGATCGCGACACCGAATATCTCGATGGGCCGAGCTTCCGACCCGTCAACATGCCCCTCACAGATCATATACCTTCTGCGAGGACTGTTCGACATCTGCCCACGCCAGAAACTGGCAATACTGCTGCTTCTCACCAAGAGTCTGGGTCAAAAGAAAGCAGTGCGCACAATCGAGGCAGTGTGTTCTCCTGTGAAATGCACCTGCTATTCTGCTTTCTGCTGTGATCACGCGAAAATTCAATCTGTGCCAATGTGTCATGATACAGACATCGACCCTCCGTTGGCTAGGGGTGAAAAGATGGAGGAGCAGAGCGGAGCAGGAAAACTTCAGTCTGAGTCCTACAAATGGCAAAAACTCAAGACAAGTCGAACATTCCATTTCGACTGTTTGTGCTATTATCGTTCGCGAGTAACACCAAAAGCAAAAATGACGACAGGAGAAAGGCGACAGAATCACTAGCCATTGAGCTAGAGCCGCTATTTCTCCTACGTCGAAAGACAGCCCTACTGAAATCATCTTTATAGTTTCCGTCAGGAGCCGTGTCTCCGAGGCGGTACCAAATGACGCGCACGTAGACGAACGCGCGAATTTGATCTCCATGGAAATGATCACGGATCCGTCTGCTGTTGAGATGCCGCAAGGCATAGGACATTCGATGCTCACGGTCTCACCACCGAAGCCGACAACAACGAGTGGAACTCTCCGCGTAGGCTGCAATTTGCGACGTTTTTGACCTTTCCTGGACGTGTCAAACAGCGTGACCAGCGTCTTATTGCAGAGGGTTGTTGCAGAGGGCCTGGAAGCTAAGGCCGATGCTTGATTTTCAGCCACACCATGACTGAGACCGCGTGCTTGTGGGATCACTAATCAGGGCGTATACAGACGTGGGTCTCAAATTCGGATCAGGCCGGCCAGCTTCAAGACTCCGGGCTGACTCCACGAGCACAGTCAACACATCTCACACGGTGCGGTAACAGCCATTGCCCGGGGATATACATTCTGGAATTCATATCCACTGGCTGTGAAAGCCAGATCTCTCAAGCACGCTGCTCTGCCATTCAATTCCAGAACCGAAGCCAGAGTCGCTCTCGGGACAGCCTTCTACAGCTCGAAAATCCTCGTTATACCTCCTGAATCTCCTACTGTACAGTTCGATCGACCACGAGAAGGTTGCGAGTCAAAGCGCCGTCAAACGATCTCGCATGGTCAGTCCACCGCATCCGTTTTCAGCCGAGAAGTACTCTACGGTGGCAGCAAGAGCAGTGAGTACACCAAGCGAGACAATTGATCTAGTGGACATGGAGGAAGAAGAGGCACGCGGTGTGGGAAGGCAGTCGGCATAACGTCAAGAGCGTCCGTGAATTCGGACACAGTGTTGCCGGCGAGTGCCAGAGCAACATGATGGGCGAGTGTGAATGAATGGTCGGCCTACAATGAATCTGCTCCTTTTGCTGTGGTTCCATCATCATGAGATTGACTACAGACCAAGAAAGCACCAGTCCCCAGGAAACCCAGGAAGACACTGGTAAATAAAGCACAATCTCAGGCGAAACACGCGGACGACAGTCCCGTCGCCTACATCTTCGCAGATTGTTTCCTCACGCCCACCCTCCTTTCCCCAGCTACTCTCAAAGAGTGATGGAGAAAGAAGAGGACACATAGAAGCGGTCCGCCCTCGCTGCAGACACAGATACACTCCACAAGTCCTGAACGAGGACGTTATTGAGCAAGCGCTGAGCACTGGAAGTGGCAGCAGATCTCAATCAGTAGTTGAACACGGGTACCAAGACAGCCGGAAGCCTAAAGCGAGGGACACACACGCCAGCGGTCTTATTGTAGCTGGACGTAGCTCTACGGCAGACAAGCCTGTGTAGCAAGAGCTAGTGTTGACAGTGACCCGAACAGATCTCCAATTGCTGCGTAACGCCCCATAGCTTGCGGCGCCACATTGACGCGGGCGATATCAGTCACCTCGCATAGATCATCTCCACCACACGTTGATACTTGGAGTGCATCCGTGGCTGTATGTTTGAACGATTTGGCTGTGTACGAAAGACGCCGAGCTCACGACACTATCCCCTGCTCCTCAGAGTCTTGTGTGGGCTGCAGAAAGACATCGTGAGAACATTTGAGTGCAGCAAAGACGTCAGCGGTGTGAGGAATGGCGATTGCTTTTGTCAAGACCGACACAAATATCTCGACTGCGTTGCCTTCTCCTCTACATGACAGGGCGTGTCATTTCGGGCAGTACAGATAGAACGAAATACGCCTTCGCGGCGATGGAGAAGGTAAGTGTTTTCTTGGCTGGACTCAGTGTCGGCGTCTACCTCTCACCGGATTGTGCCCTCGCCTTTCTCCAGCTGCTGCGCTAAGGGAAAGCAGAGGAGAATGAAGAGAACACATCCCTTCGTAGTGGCAGCCGATCTGCTCCCCATTTTTGGCGCAATCTACTGAAAGTAATGAGGCCTTCCCAGCGCTCTGAACAAGACGCCTCCATTCCATGAAATTCAACCGTCGTGCACATCGAACAACCTCACTGCCCCTTCACCAACTTAGCTGCAAGACGCACACCCATCAAACATCAAACATCAAGCAAGTCGCTCTAGTGAACGGAAAGCCACAGAGCGCTCCTTCAGACGCCACCTCTCGCTCGCGGACCCTGACAATTCAGTAGGTAGAAGGGAACAGCCGCTGTGAAAGTTCCTTGCAGGGAACATCAGCTAGCGTACCAATCTTTCGCGCCAATGAGGTCGCTCAGCGCTGAGACTTCAGCCACTTTTTTGGATTTCTGGCCACGGGTGGCGTTGGCGAAGCTCAGAGACCGTTTTTGGTGGCTAGGCGCGATGGGAGTCGGGGAGTGTGTTTGGAAGGATTTATTTGACGGCGGGAGCACATTCATGCATACCTGTCGCCAGTGGACACCGTATTGTTGCCGTGGTGCAGGTGCTTCCTGCTTGAAGATATCCCGATTCCGATAGATCTTGCTCTTGCCCTGCTCTTGAAACTGGACTACGAAAAGATCCGCTCTCCCTGGCCTTCCCCCTCTCCCTCCATGCGCCCAATATTCCCAAAGCTGTTGTAATTCTCAATGCCCATCAGATTCCTCCCAGCCTCTCAAGATCCTATCCCAGTACCAGAACGCAAACAAACATCCCTTGAAACTCGACAGAACCCGCGAACAAGCGAATTATCGCGGCGAAAGACATGTCCCTGATGAGAAAAGAAAAGTATAAAAGTCGCAGTGGGTCTTGAAGAAGTGAAGTCGCAAACCCACCTCACCTCAGCTTTCACAGCGTGACAGGGAACATTCCCTAGCGTCGATCTCGTTTTGTCCAATGGCAGCACAGCACTTCCCTCCCTCCCAACCTCCCTTCCCTTTAGAATTTCAGCTCCACAGATTCGCATCATCACTCACTCACTCACTCACTCACTCACTCACAGCGTCATTCGAAGCATTCGAAGCATTCTCACTCTGACATCAGCTACCACGCGGCAATGTCCATCCGTCGGTTGCGTGTCGCTGGTGAAGACTTATCCGGTGCGTGAATAATCGTCCTTGTGCAAGCTGCTTGCCTGAGACGTAGAGGGACATGGGAAAAGCGAGGCGGAAAGGCGAGATGTCTTGGTAATGAACATATACGAGCATAAATGTCAAACGTCTGAGCAGGAAAGGGGAAAGGCAAGGAACAAATTCTGCGCAATTCGAGCAAGACTCTCGAAGCAATTCCAGTCCAAGTTCTCATCTCATAATTCATACTAATCTATACCGTTTCATGATAGTCTATACTATTTCACACCAAATTCGTAATCCCATCTTCCATCTCTGGTGTATCCTCCTACATCATCACTCATCACCGATCCTCTCACCATGTCCATCCCCTCCGCACTTGCACCCTCTCTCACGCAGGCTTCCACTCATAATGATACTTCCCCGTCACCGGCTTCCCCTCCACATCATCATCCCACCGATCAAACATGTGCTTCCCGAAATAATCCAATTCCGCCTCGTAGAAACTCGTAGGCAACGCCGTGCTGGTCTGGTATTTCAGATACTCCAACGTCGCACTGAGAGCAGGGATGGGGTGATCCGCTGCGATGCCCTGGGCGACAATCTTCTTCAAGGGTGCGAAAGTGCGCTGGAGATCGTGGGCGACGGCGGGTTCGAAGAGGGGGTTCTTGTCGTTCGGCTTGGAGCGGGAGTCGCGGTAGAGGGGCAGGAGGAGGTGGGTGGAGATGTAATCGGCCTGGATGATGCAGCCGGCGCGCCAGATTTGGAGGAGTTGGGGGTAGTCGACGTGGAAGTGGTGTTGCTTGTCGGCTTTGTCGATGATGTTCATGCCCTGGATGTAGGCGCAGAGGAAGGCGTTGAAGACGGCCAGGCGGAGGTCTTCGAGGAATTGTTTCCTGTCCGGCACGTCCAGCGGTTGAGGCGCGTAGGCGCCGCCGAAGGTCTTGTGGATGATGCGGCGCTGGTGCAGGTCTCCGGAGGCGATGCGGAGGAAGTGAGCGGTGCTGAGCGTGGGAGAGGGGACGTGCTGTTCGATGGCTTCGACGTTGGACCAGATTCCCGTTCCTTCTTCGCCGGTCCAGTCTTGCACGACTTTGTCGCCGACGGTATCGAGCACGCGCTCGCCCTTGTCATCTCTCGTGAGGCAGATCTCCGCGCCGATGCGGACGAGAAAAGTACCCTGGAGCTCGCCAGACTGGTTCCAGCGGTGGAGCTCCTCGCCGATCTCATCCAGGCTCATGCCCAAGCCCTTCTTCATGATCGCCCACGCCTCCGCCATGGCAGACATCATACCATGTTCGATGCCGTTGTGGATCATCTTGCAGTAGTGACCCGCACCGCCCGTACCGATCCTGCCCACGCAAGGAGAACCATCCGGCGCCTTGGCTGCAGCCTTCTCCAGCAGCGGCATGACGATATCCAAGGTCTCGGCGTCAGACCCAGGACACATGGACGGACCACGACGGCTGCATCGTTGAATCTCAGCATGAAAATCTTCGTCTTCAGGAGGAATCCTCGAGTACTCACGCGGCCTGATACCCTCCACTCACACCCATACCCACATACCGAATCCCCTTGACAACACACTTCCCCATCCGCCTCTCGGTATTCTGCCAGTGCTCATTCGCGGCGTCGATAATCACATCCCCAATCTCCAAAAACGGCATCAGGCCTTCCAGCACTTTATCACCAGCATCGCCATGCGGCAAGCTCCAGACGAAGACTTTCGGAGACCCCAGATTCCGGCACATGGAAGCGTAGTCTTGGTATTTGGAGAGCTTCTCGCCGACGCCGTCCTTTTCCGCTTGCTGGAGGACCTTGTCCATGGCTTCGTTGGAGGGATCCTGCAGGAGCACGTCGCAGCCATTCTCGGCGAAGAGCAGAGCCATGCCGCCGCCCATGGAGCCGCAGCCGATCATGGCTAATTTCTTGATTTCGGCCATACTGCTTTCGTGTCTTTTCTGTGGGAGTGCGGGCAATTCCACCCAACTCACCCTCTTCGCAGACTTCCGAGGAACAGGCGGCGGAGGAGAAGAAGAAGAAGCGGACGGATCTACACTTGCTGGATCCCTCGCACTGGGTGTTGGTGGCACAGGAGGTGACAGAGGCGGCACTCGGGGCGGGAAATGCTCGTTTTCGTCAATGGGCGGGAGGTCAGAGTAGGAAAGTAGTCTAAGGGAGGAGGACATCTGCTAGAAATCATCTTTCATTAGCTCTCCCTAGCTCCAGCCTGTTTTCTCCCCCTCCGTGGCGACGCTGCATCACGCCGCAGAGGCAAAAAGCTGCTGCAGCTTTGAGGTAATCGTGATGTGACGTACCGGCGCTGATTCGGATGCACGCGGGTGAGACGCGCGGACACGTGAGAGCTCTGCATGTGTGGGAGCTTGAGAGCTGCCGTGTTTCTGCTGACGACAGACTTACAAACTCTGCTTGCGGTGGAGGTGACGTGAGGATGTTGTCTGGGATTCATTGGGAGATGGTTGCGTTGGAGCTACCGCTGTTGTCTGCGAGGAGACGAGAGTGGAAGATGCGAACAACTGGGATGAATGGGCGGCTGCTGTGACCGCATTGCTTTCATCGAGCAAGGCGCGATGAATAGAGAGTGAGGAGATAACGGCAGCATTGGCTTCATTCCGCTCTCGAGAGAGTACTCTTCAAGCTGCATCGCATCACATCCCTCTCCACGTCGTAACAAGTCAAGCCGCTCTAGCACCGCACCGCAAAAGTCATGTCTCAAAGCCTCATGGCAACGAGATGGGTATCTCAACGCTCAGAATCTCCGCCCAATGCATCACTCAATCTCCTTCTCCGATATGTTTGGCCTCATGCTTCCCCACTCTTCCCAGTCCGTTATTAGTTGGAACGCATTGCCGCACTCGTCTTGAATGTCATCAGTCCTCCGTGCTCGTGGCGGATGTTTTCGCCTCTTTGGGTATCGCTCACGCTTCGTCGTCGTCCTCCTCGAGCTGCTCGTCTCCCTACTCATCTTCAAAAGTCGCGCCTGTCTCGTCATCGCCTTCTTCATCTTCATCATGTTCGTATCCTTCTTCGCCATCCAATTTGCTCCATTCCAGACTCTCTTCAGCGTCCTCCATAGGCATGGGATCGACGGCTTCCAGCTCACTCTCCTCCTTTTCTTCGCGTTCTTGCTGCTTCTTCTCCTCTTCTTGTAGATCAAACATCACGCTCTTCCGCCCGCTCAGAGGCCTGCCGCTTTCCACGCTACTGTGGCTCTCTCGGCTTCTCCTCACCACCACATCTCCATGCCACGGTCTGCACTCCTTCACCACTTCTCCGCACCGGAGACACACCCATCCTTCGCCCTCTTCGGCTTCAATTCGCTGCGCCAGGCACACGAAACAGTAGATACAGCCACATGGGTCTGCTTGGTATGGGTTGGTGATGTCCGTCATGGCGCTTCCGATGATGCCGCTGTTCGCTCCGACGCTTGTCGATGAGATGACGTCTTGCTCGGATTGTCCGCCCGTGGGGTTCTGGTCTTGGTAGCAGATCGCGCACGTCCGCTCCGGGAGGAAAGCCAGTTCGCCCTTTTGGAAATCTTCGTCTTCGTCGTCGAGATTTGTAGATGATGCGCCGTGCCATAGCCGGGCTGTCATTCCTTTGGCCTTCTTCCACGCTCTTGCTATCCATCTCCTCCACCTGCTGATGCCGACGAGTGGTAGCAGGAAGAGGAGGAATTCGGTGAAGGCGTGCCAGACGAGTTGTCGGTTCAGCCATTCGAATGAGACTTCTCGGCTCGTTTGGTTGGAGGATGGGACGAGTCGAAGGCGGAGTAATCGGTCGGTCAGAGTTCGGTATCTGCCGTTGTAGAGGAAGACGAGGAAGGAGATGAAGGCGGCGATGTTGTGGGAGGTGCCGAGGAAGGTCGTGAGACGGGATAGTCGCTGGATAAGGGGTGAGGGTTCGTCGTATCCGCCTTCGAGAGTGGACAACCGCTCCTCCCAGCGTGTCCAGCCATATCTGCCAGCTACTGTGATGATGCCGTAGAGCGCTCTCTGCCAGTATGTCGCTTCTTTGCGTATTCGAGCTGCTTCTTGCTGGTCTCCGCGTGAGTCAATGTACTTCAACCCTTGCAGTGAGGCGCCGTAGCTCGTGCCGTGGTCCCAAATCGACAGCTTCCAGTAGACCATTCGCAGTAGTAGGGTCAGCTCCGCATCCCAATCGTCTTTGAGATGCGCGCCAAAGAGCTTGGTCCCTTCGCCGGCCTGTTTCTTGAGCAGACCGAGGAGCGCTTCGTCGAGCAACTCCGCATCGACTTGGCCCACGCGGAACGCTGGTGATGTGCCATACGGCGATCTGACGACGTCCCAAGCGCGGAGGAATTCGAATGCGTACGAGCGGAGTGAGGGCGGGAGTCGTGTGAGGTCGGCGGATCTGGCGGCATCGTGTTGGCGGTCGGCGGCAGTCAGCGCTTGTTCGCGGGCGGCGCGTCTCTCCCGGATGCGCTTCTGCGCCGCGGCAAAATCGGTCATGTCGTTGGCATATCGGAGTGAGGTGCGATGGGGCAGAATAATGAATAATGTTGAAGAAAGAAGAGAGGGAAGGGAAACGTGATGAGATTTGATTAGGTGAGACGAGACGAGACGAGAAGCCGAGGTCGCGCGCTGGGATTCCGAATGCACGGACGGGACGCTCGGGAACGCTTTCCGACTTCATTTCTCTCTCTACCACAATACCGTCCAATATCCAGTAACATCACCAATATCCAGTTCCAGAAGAGTACCGTACTCCATTAGAGGATTGATCCCGTCCTGGCTATGGCCTGCAGACGCGCAGTCGACGCGGTGAGGAAATTCCGAATTGGTCAGCCAGAGTTCCAACATCCTGACAGCTCGTATCGAGAATACTTACAGAGAGTACTTACATGATACGGTACATATCGGTAATACGGGATATCGCTGGTTGTCAAGAGAGGTAAATAAACTACCTCACTGGGAAATCTCCACTCTCTCGCGGCCTTTGCTGCCTGCTTCGCCCTTGGCTGCCCTGCTAGCATCCCCCGGGTCGACTTTCTCGAGGGGACGATATTCCGGAACCCACATCTGCTCCCTGATCCACTCCTCCAACTCAGCGCCGTCAGAGGGGATCTCCTTCTCCCGCGCCAGGCCGTCTTGGACCGCCTGCTGAATCACCGCCGCGGCTATCTTGACCGAAATCTCTCGCACATCGCCTACGTCCGGCAACAACGCCGCATCGGGATCTTTCAGGGCCGGGGCCTGCGCGGCGAGCGCTTTCACTGCCGCTACCAACATCTCCTTGGTAAGCAGCTTCGATCGACCGAGAACTACGCCCAGGCCGATTCCCGGGAACGTAGTGCCTAAGAGCAAGAGCAGGTGAGAAAGCGTCGTGATATCCAGAAAGGGAGAACTTGCTATTGTTACATTCTGCAATCTCCCGCTTCTTCCCCCCCTCCATCTCTACCGGCGGAAACGGACTCCCACTGGCACACAGAACCTTGCCCTCCGTCCACGCATACAGATCCCTCGGATCAGCCTCGTGCAGTCTCGTCGGATTCGAAAGCGGGAATATAATCGGTCGTTCAACATGCTTAGCCATCTCCTGTACGATCTCCTTGGTGAAAGCTTTCGGCTGCGTACTCGTTCCGATCAAGACATGCGGCTTCACATGCTTCACAATCTCCAGCAGAGACTTGGGATCCGTACCTCTCCAATCTTCATCCGGCTTGGCATAAGGATGTTGCGCCGGCATGAGTTCTTCTTTCCGACTCTGTACCAACAATCCAGGCTTATCGATCAGAAAGATTTGCTTCGCTGCTTCTTCGCCGGATTTTCCGCCTTCGACTGCTATGGCGTCTCGGATCTGATCTGCGATCCCCGTTCCTGCGGATCCTGATCCGAAACATATCACCCTCAACTCCGAAATGTCATACCCAGCGACGTGTGCAGCAGCATAGATGGCCGCGAGAGTCACGCACCCGGTCCCTTGAACATCATCATTAAAACATGCCAATTGATCCGAATACCTGCCCAACAACCTCCTCGCATTGCCCACACCGAAATCTTCAAAATGCAAGTACGCCCGCGGAAACTTCCTCCTCACCGCCGTCACAAACTTCTCCACAAACGCATCATACCCTTCCCCTCTCATTCTTCCCTTCTGCAAGCCCAAATACAACTCATCGTTCAGGAGCTCCGCATTATCCGTCCCGACATCCAACACCACCGGCAGAGTCCGCGTCGGATGGATCCCCGCACAGAGCGTATAGAGGACCAATTTCGCAATACTGATCAAAATCCCCCCGACGCCCTGATCTCCGATCCCGAGAATCTGCTCCCCGTCACTCACCACCACAACATCAACATCCGCTTCGCCTCCGAATCTCGCCATCGCAGTTTCGATCTCCTCGGAAGCCATATCCGAATGCAAAAAACACCCCTCGGGCCTGCGAAACAGCCGCGAGAAATTCTTAATCGCCTCGCCCTCCGTCGGCGTATAAATCACCGGAAACATCTCTTTCAGATGTGTTTGGCAGAGCGCGTAGTAGAGGATTTCGTTCTGTTCTTTCATGGAGGCGAGGAACGTGTTCTTGCCGAGGTCCGTCTTGTGCGTGGCATATTGGGCATATGCGCGGCTGATCTGTTCCGAGAGGGTGTTTATTTTGGCGGGGAGGAGGCTTTCCAGGTGGAAGGTTTTGCGTTCGCTGGAGGGGAAGGCGGAGCCTTTGTTGAGGTAGGGGGTTTGCAGGAGGGCTGGGCCGGTGAGGGCGCAGGGTTGGGGGCCCGAGGTTGAGAGGGGGAGGTGCGTGAAGGTGTGGGTTTTGGGGGAGGGCATGGTCTTGCTTGTTCTTCTTCTTCTTCTTCTTCTTCTTCTTTGCGAGCCTTTCGGGGTGAAGGTTCTTGTGATGGAGTTCGTGGGCTTGCGGCTACCCGGAGTGTCTTCTTCTAAGTCTTCGCTTCTGTTCAGACTTTTTGAGGGGTTGACTTGTATGGACATTCGTACAGCAGTCCACGATCTAAACAAGATTTGAGCACGCACGTGTGCATGTGGTAGTCGGATGGAGCTCGACACACGATGAATGCACAATGACGCTGGCTTGCAGGGACCGAAGTGACTAAGAGGAGCCGATCTACATGGGGTATCACAGTCTTCTATTCTAAAGCTACTAGTACTCGCTGGAGTCGGAAGTCATCATTACATCAACTCTCGTCTTCCTCTTCCTCCTGCTCCACGCTCCCGACGACCTCCTCTCGGTGCTCCTTCAACATCTCCTCGGCCGGCCCCTGCTCCAGGATCTTGCCCTTGCCGAGGACGATGCAGTAGTCCGCATTCTTGACGGCCTCGAGGCGATGGGCGATGGTGATGACCGTGCTCTCCTTCATCTCCTCGTGCATGACCTGCTGGATCTGCATCGCCGTCTCCCGGTCAATGGAGGCGGTGGCTTCGTCGAGGATGATGATGGCGCTACGGCGGAGCACGGCGCGGGCGAGGCCGACGAGCTGCCGCTGGCCTTGGCTGAGGTTCTTACCCCCAGCCTCGACCTTCGTGTCCAGCTTCCAGCCTTGCCGCGCGCAGACGCGGTGGAGAACCACCTCGCATTCCGCGTCCGAGTGCTCATCGACCGGGTCGAGGTTTTGTCGCATGCTTCCCGGAAAGAGCACGGGGTCCTGTGCCAAGAAGGTCACTCGCGTGCGCAGAAGTTGCTTGTCGACTTCGGAGATGTCGACGTTGTCCACGAGGATGTGGCCCATATCCGGGAGGATGGTGGCGAGCATCGCGAGGGCGAGAGTTGACTTCCCCGAGCCAGTACGGCCGAGGACGGCGGTCTTGGAGCCTCCTTTCACAGTGAATGTGACTTCTGCCAGGGCGGGGTCCAGATGCGGTGCGTACTTGATCGTGACGTTCTTGAAGACGATGTCGCCGGAGAATGATGGCCACCAGGCTGGCGGAGTGACATTGCCTTTCGGTTCCTGTTCCAAGTGCAGCAGCTCCACGACTCGCTCCACGGACACGAATTCCATCTGGAGTTGACCGTACTGCTTGCAAAGACCATGCGTTGTGATGACAAATCTACTGGCAGACATCATGGCAAATGCAGTCAGACCGGCCGAAAGGTTGGTTGCGAGCGCGAGCACGAAGAGCATGAAGGAGGCGAGGCTTGAGAGGACGTCGTATCGGTACATCAGCCATGCTTGAAGACTCCAGTAGAAATGATCCATCTTCTGGAACGTGTCGACGACGTGAATCACCCGGTCTTGGAAGCGAGACTGTGCACCAAACGCTCTGACGGTGGCTAGGCCATTGAGCAATTCTCCGAAATTGGACATGAGCGGAGTCAGCGACACCATCTCCAGACGGCGCAGGTTTTGCGAGGTGGGAATGAAGCGTCGAAAGATCAGGACGAACAGGACGACCAAGACTGCCGTGAATGCCAGGAAGGTCGGAGTGATCGATGCGATGACAACCACAGAAGAGACCCAGCTGATGAGCATCCAGGAAATCGCTGAGAACTGATAGCTAATGCCACCGTCGATAACGCCAATGTCGGAAGTCATGCGGTTCATCAGTCGACCGACAGGTGTCACGTCGTAGAATCGGAAGGTAGCATGGGCGACTTTGACCATGATGTCCCGGAACATATTCTTCGCAGCGGTGTAGACGATGACTTGCACCATGCACTGTGAGAGAGCGTATGAGAGCGACTTTCCAAGAGCAAAAAGAAGAAACCACAACAGCCAGGGGTGGATGTTGTCTTCTGGAGGCGGCAAGCCGTCGAAGATGTCGGTGGTGTGGTAGGTGAGCTCCTTTGCGTGGACGAAATGAGATGGCTTGGCTTTGGTGTTGTACGCTTCTCCCCAAGACTTGAGGAACCAGCTTTCGGCAATCGAGAAGAATCGGTACAGAGCAAGGAAGACGATTGTGATGGCCCAGAACTTCAAGGTTCCAGCTTTGATGTACTCCCAGTACACTCGAGCTTTGACACCACCGTACGCGCGATGTTCCTCTTCGATGAACTTGTCCGGTACTGCAGCCGCCTTTTGCTCAGCTTCTCGCTCCTCGCTTGTGTCGTTCTCATTTTGATGACTGTTGGTAATGACAAGGTCGTAGTCGGTTGCCGCTGCTTCCTGATCTACGACAGACGCTCTGTTGTCCTCGATCTTGATGATCTGGCTTGCCACATTGAGAACGAGATCTGTGCGATGGGTAACGAGAACTGCAGTGCGGCCTTTCAGCAGAGGTCCAGCGATGCAGTTTCGCACAATAACTTCTGCGGTCTGCTGGTCCAAGGCTGCGAGTGGATCGTCAAGAAGCAGGATCTTGGTGTTGCTGTAGACCGCCCGTGCCAAAGCGACTCGCGCTCGCTGGCCACCAGACAGGCCGATACCGTTCTCGCCGATCATGGACAGATCTCCAGCCTTGAACTCCGCGAGATCCGGCGTAAGTGCGCAAGCATCCAGCACGTCTCGATAGCGTTTGTCGTCGTAAGGCGCAGAGAAGAGGATGTTCTCTCGCACGCTCATGCTCTGCAGCCAAGCGGTCTGGGCACAGTATCCAATCGGCTCTGCAGGGCGAATGAGCTGACCATCGAGCAGATCCAGTTCACCAAGAAGAGCTTGGAGCAGTGCAGTCTTCCCTGAGCCGACCTCGCCGCAAATGACCGTAAGACCTTCAGGGAAAGAGAGATCGACGTCCTTCAAGACAGGGGTGTGGCTTTCAGGCCAGGCGAATGTTGCCTTGTCGATTGCGAGCTTATCGCCAATTAGTGCCTCTGTTGCCATTCGCTGCAGATCCGGCTCTGCCATGAAGTCTTCGATGCGGGTCATCGCGACCCAGGCGTTGATCAGTGCAATGACCAGACCAGGGAGTTCTCTGAGCTGAGAGGTCATCATGGCAAAGAGCTGCATCGCAGGGAAGGCAATGTCCACGGTCAGAGGCTTCTTCGCGATGAGTGTATATGTTGCAAAAGCTGCCACTGGTGTCAGATCCAGGGCGAGCGCATTGATGACGCTGATGACGAGGCCCCAGATGGCTGAGAATACTCGCAATATCAATTCTTTCTGTCGTGCTGTCAAGACCTGATCAAGCCAGTGGCCTTGCCAGCCATACCAGCGCAGATGGCGGATCGACTCCACAAACTGCGATATTATCTGCAACTTGGCATCGGTTGCCATTCGGCGCTTCTTCTCGTAGTACACCAGCACTCGCGCAATGAAGCTGTTCATGACCTGTGCGAAGATGATGAGTGCTACTGCCATCATTGAAGGCCATCCAAGGTAGTTGACCACCAGCGATACCGAGAGGATGATGGCGATTGGCTTCTTTACGATGTTGTCGAATTCCCAGAATCGCTGTGCCACCTCGTAGACGTCGTTGCGCATCAGATTGAGAATCTTACCCATCACCGCGGGCTCCTTGGCTGCAGTAGGCGATTTGGTGCGTCTCGACAGGTTGCTGATCTTGTTGCCCAATCTTGTCCACCATGGTGTGGCCTTCTTGTCCTGCTGCTGGCCGTTCGCATGGCCGTTGGCTTCTCCGTTGGCTGTAGATGTTGTGCCATTTGTATTCTTGTCTTCTTCCTTTTTAAATGCAATCTTACGTCCGAGCGTCTTCTCGTATAACATTGTAATCATCTCTCCTCGTGTGCGTTCGTAGCATCGTCGACCAAACCAAAGGCTGAAAACTCCAATCTGTGTCGCCAGCAGCCGGGCGCACAGTCCAAGTGCAGCGTACGTCAATGCCACCCGCCTCGGTCTCGTTGTGTCTTCCATCGAACTGAGAATTAATTGCAAAAAGACGGGCGCGGCGTATTGTGCGAGTTGATCGAGCAAGCCGAGAATCGTGATGATGATGAGATCGATGCCGTTGGCGCGAATCAGCCTCCGAATGACAGAGCCTCTCAGCTCGCGGAAGTTCTCGTGCAGTCTCTTGTGCTGAAACTCATATGGCAGACTCCACACGTCTTCGTATTCAAGCTGACGAGCGCCTCCAAGATCCATCAACGGCTTCATCCAGCTGACCGTCAGGAATTGCCACAGACTCAGCGCTTCTTCTGGGCTTCGGAGAACAGACGTGGGAGCAGTGAACGGGGCGCTGATGTCTTTGGATGGCATGACGGGGTCTCGAAACGGCATGAGGAGCATAACCAGGACGTTCAAGGCTCCAGAGACGGTGGCGAAAATGCTCAGCAGACCGGACAGTTCTGGCCAATAGCCATTCTCCAGCAGTATGCCTTCCGCAATCAACTGTAGCACGGTGATCGAAAGAACGGCGTATGGTATGTTTCGCGGCCTGTGAACAGCAACCTCCAAAATTGTAACCAGCCAAGGAAGGACAGGCAGATATGCGGTCGCTGTCGCTTCGTCGAGGATTGATGCCGCCAACTGGAAACCGAACGCGATGATCGAGAAGCATGCCAACGCCATCGTAGCAATGGTCCATCTTCTTGTCGGCACCAAGTCTTCCTCCATGGTGGGCTCGACGATTTCTTCAACGAAGGGTCTGGTCCAGCGAGGGCCACGGGGGAGAACGATTCTCAGCAATTGGATGAGCAGAATGACGGCCGCCAGCACGCCCGGAATACCCGCTATCACCGGCAGAAAACATGGTCGAAAATGCGCTTCTTCGGGTATCCAGACGTTGTTGAAGCAGATGCTGGTTGCGGATGTTGAGGCGAAGCCGGCCAAGTCGCCGCCGGATAAGACGTGCTGCATGGTCGCCATGACCGCGCCGGAAGAGTACTTGTTGGGCTGTGGAGAGGTGGTGTTCTCATGCTCGAAGGCGATGTGATTCGATCCAATGGCGGCTGGTGCCTAGTGGAAGATGATTATTATTATGCAGCCTTCGAAGGATGCAACGCGGCTTGATTCGTACGAAGCGCAAGGGTTGCCGGCACGGTCCGAGCGCTCCGCTTTGGCAGGATCAACACTTCACTTTCACATGCTCATCCCGTTCCTGTCGAGGGGAAACTTAGAATGATTAATGGATCTGAAAGGCATGATGTATTTTCAAGTTGGTGTATCGATACTTTCAGCGCATGTCTGCATTTCAGGCATCTAGAATGCAGCGTTGCCAATCTACCCTAGACAGCCATAGCACCCTAGCATTGCATTGGTTGTAGACAATGGCTCATACGTTTATTGATGATTGATACCCGGTTGACTAGAATCGACTGAGCTGGCATGTGTCGCATCGGCTACGAAGAAGCGCCTTATCACCGTCGCCGCACACATAGAGCTCCTACAGCAAACGCTATGGTTGTTTTGCCTGTCCTTCTCCGGTCCAGAAGTGCGGTCCCTGCTGCTCTGTAGCTATTCAGTACCTGAATCTGAACCTCACTTGTAGAGATCGCTGTGCGTTGCTTGCATGTGATTGTTGGTGCCTATGACGTGAGCTTGCCGCCGCCAGCGCGGAGCGTGCGTCGCTGTGTCAAAACTTGTGCCGGTCAGCTTGACAGTTTCTCCCCTCATCACACTTCCGACACAGTATCAGCACCGCCGCCACTGTTCGCACACGCGATGTCTGCTCGCTGGGACATTAGCGTGAGAGTAGGAGGTAGTGTGTCGGATTACACCGCGACGGTGACGACGTTGCCCGGTTTCTTTCTCCCGCCGCCGCCTCCGCCGCCTCCCCCTCCGCCGCCGCCTGCGTAAGTAGCAACCCATCCCCAAGAAAACTTCACAGGCTCCGCCATTGTCGAGGGCCGCCAGCACCTTTCGGAGACGCAAGAGAAGGGATGCAATGCGGCCGCACACCAAGCCTTTCCGGGATGATGGCTAACATGATGCAGCGCCAATGACGACGACGACGACGACGACGACGACGACCTCATCGATCTGTGAGTCTTCCACCCGCCCTCTTCTTGCGAAGCAGAACTGACCAAGCCACAGCGGTGAGCCAGACGACCTGCCTGCTGTACCGCAGCAGGACCCAGCCTACGAGCGGGCCTGGCAATTGTTCTGGGATCCATGGGCGGCGACCGCGATACCCACGCCAGGGATATGGCACCTGGACGTCCTTGGAGGCCAACCGGTCTATACGAGGACGGACCGGGGAGTTGGGTGGATGCGCGCCGTCTTCCACGTACGATTGCCATTCCCCACGGCTTTTGGGCTGGGCTTCGTCGACGCCGAGATCATGTGCAGCTGGAGATTTTTCTAGGTACGTGAGTGATTGCGTATTCTCTTGAGAGAGCTATGAGCACCGGAGAGCGGCGATACACACCCGGCCGTGGAAGATCAAGGGACCGTTCTATGCAGGAGCGTACTGGATTTCGGCGCTGGAAACCACGGTAAAGATCAGTCGTACGCCTTAGCATCCACTCGTAATGAGCGAAGATGCCATCGCAGATGGCCTATGGAAAAAGAGGTCAGCTGGTGCCGACAACAGCCAAACACCCACAAGTACGATGTCAACGGCTTTGCCAGCGGGTTCAGCTGCGCTCATCGTCTTTGTCGTCTTTCCCGGCGAGATCTGGTGCCCGAAAAGAGAGTCGAAGCGTCAGCACGAGACCCATATCTGTCCAGACCGCGCGGACTTCGTCCCTTGGGACATCGCGACAACACGGCCTCCAGGCGGCACGCCCTGTCCTCGCTGTCTGCCCGGCGAGAAATCGCTCGGGAGACAGACCATACAGGTATCGGTTTCATGGACCGGCTGGAAATCGAATCAAGGGACTGAATTGTTATACTTGGAATTTGCGGATCATGTCAATCTTCTATGCCGGCCCAGGAGCCCACCTGTCTTCCACTCCTGGGGGCAGCAGTACTGTCACTCTCGATGCCGCCAAGCTTCATCGCGCCTTTGTCATTCGGGACAGATTATTGTCATCATCACGGCGATTCTTTCTGGGTCTGATGCCTCTCGTCACTCCAGGTGAGGACTTCTGCTGCAACAGGACCATTTCCGTCAGGCTCCCGTCAGGACGACCAGCAGCCCGGTCAGCATTCACCTTCTGGAGACGCTCTCAACGCTCACGTCGCTCATCGCTCTCTCCGACTGCTCTCGTTTATCTCTTCTCATAACTCTTGACGGTGAATGCTGACGATTCGCAGATGTAAGATTCCCTTCTCCCTTCCCAACATTCACGAACCATACACGCTAGTGTCCCCGCAAAGCTTATCTGCTCGCACGGACTCCAACGCGTCATGCGGAAATATCCAACACTTCCCCATCCATCTCTTCCATTTCCCCTTCACCCACGCCATCGCGGCGACTTTGCGCTGCATATCACCACTACACTTTGACGAGATACCTTCCATGTCAGCGACGCCATGGCCTCGCGGAAGCTCGACGCGGCGCGAGATTACTCCACCGACAGCGACCTCAATATCGTCTCCACACGAACGCGCGTAACCTTTTCTGACGATGATGATATTATAGCCCCGCCGAAGAAGAAGCGCAAGTGGACGGAGAGAAGACGACCCAAGCAGGTCGGCGGCAAGAAGAAGGTCGCGCCGAGAGGCTCCATGGTGGGCCTCAAGAAGACGAAAACCACCCACACGCGCACAAGAGTCTCCGAGAGCGACGACGACGACGAGGACGAACCACCAGACGAGCAGTTGCCACAGTACCTCAAAGACCGAATGAAGACCAGAGACGACCTCCAAAATGAAGGCGCTCTCCTACCTCCCAACTACGACGACATTGACTTCCCCCAAGACATGTCCACACTCATTGAGAAGCCAGATCTACCTGGACTCGAGCCTCCGCGACCCTACGAAGACACATATATTGGCTGGAACACCGCCATAATTCCCGCACCAATCGCGCAGTATCTGAAGCCATACCAAGTCGAAGGCGCAGAGTTCCTCTACAAGAAGTTCCTGTTTCAAAAGGGTGGCATACTAGGAGACGACATGGGCCTGGGCAAGACAATACAAGTGATCGCATTCCTGACAGCGGCGTTCGGAAAGACAGGCGACGAGCAAGATGGCAAGCGCATGCGTAAGGTGCGAAAAGTGGACGACAGATGGTATCCGCGCATCCTCCTGATCTGCCCCGGCACCCTCATGGCAAACTGGCAGAGCGAGCTCGACCGATGGGGATGGTGGCATACATATCTCTTCCACGGAACTGCGACCGAGAAGCAATCCGCGCTCGATGCCGCCGAGAAAGGATACCTCGAGATCATGATTACGACCTACGACAGCTACCGCAACAGCCAGGGTGCAATCAACACCATACGCTGGGACTGTGTCATTGCCGATGAATGTCACAGAATCAAGGAGCCCAGGACAGCAATTACCAAAGCCATGTCGAACGTCAACGCTCTCTGTAGGCTGGGACTTAGCGGTACCGCAATTCAGAACAAATACGAGGAACTCTGGGCGCTGCTCAACTGGTGCAGTCCTGGGGCACTAGGACCTATGGTGAGCTGGAAGAACACGATTTGCATGCCTCTCAAACTAGGACAAAGCCACGATGCCACCCTCTCACAGCTCTCAAAAGCCAGACGCATCGCAAACAAGCTGGTCAAGCACCTGTTGCCTCAGTTCTTCCTGCGCCGGACGAAAGCACTCATTGCGCATCAACTGCCAAAGAAGAGCGACAGAGTCATCTTCTGTCCCCTTACTCAGGCACAAGCAGACGCATATAACAATTTCTGCGACCACGAGCTTGTGCACACCATAAGAGACTCGTCGAAGCCTTGCTACTGTGGTTCCGGCAAGAAACAAGGATGGTGTTGTGTTCAGGAAGTCGAAGACTTCGGACGATGGCAACTGTACCCATTTCCCGTTCTCGCTACGCTGCAGAAGCTCTCTAACCACCTCGGTCTGCTAGTACCTTCAGCAGAGGAAGACAAAGAGAAGCATGATAAGGAGAAGCAGAGACTTGAGATCGCCATGCCTGGAACGTGGGAGAAGCTTTACAACAACCGAGACAACCTCCTCACCTACGCAAATACTGAGTACTGCGGCAAATGGAAGGTTCTGAAGAAGTTGTTGAGGCTCTGGCACGACAACGGCGATAAGGTGTTGATCTTCTCACACTCGGTCCGCTTTCTGACGATGTTACGCACGCTCTTCAACAACACCGATTACAACGTCTCATATCTGGATGGCAACGTGCCTTTCGAAGATCGTCAGCCGACGGTGGATGAGTACAATGCAGATCCGTCCCAATTCGTCTTCCTCATCTCCACGAAAGCTGGTGGAGTCGGCCTCAACATCACGAGCGCAAACAAGGTTGTTGTCATGGATCCGAACTGGAATCCAGCGTACGATTTACAAGCGCAGGACCGTGCCTACCGCATTGGACAGACGAGAGACGTCGAAGTATTCCGCTTGGTATCAGTTGGAACAGTTGAGGAGATCGTATATGCTCGCCAGATCTACAAGCAGCAGCAAGCCAACATTGGCTACAATGCCTCGGTCGAGCGGCGGTACTTCAAAGGTGTACAAGATCAGAAAGACCAGAAGGGCGAGATCTTCGGCCTCACAAACCTATTCGCGCCCGTCAAGGAGAACGTGGTGCTGAGGGACATTGTCAACAAAACCAACATTGCCGAGACCCGAGCTGGAGTGGAAATCACCGGGCTCGATTTTGAGGCAAGTCAAGAAGACGAAGATGAATCCGCGCCATTCAATCCGAAGGAAGAAGATGCGGCCATGAGCCAGCTCGCGGCGGAAATCATCGACGAACCAGGCGCACGACGCCAAGCCGCGAAAGAGACGGCAAAGAAGAAGGATCCAGTACAGGCTATCCTCGCATCAGCAGGAGTCGAGTACACACATGAAAACGCAGAAGTCATTGGAACTTCGAAGATTGAGACAAAGATCTCTAGCCGAGCACAGAAAGCCGGCAACGACGTGGAGCACATCAACGAGCTTGCGTTCGCGCGAGGCCTGGAGTCGCAATCACAGCAACGACCAGGTTCGGAATACGTCTACCGACCACAGCAGCACGGAGCCTCCATGGCTGATGATGATGATGATGATGATGCTGTTGATCTTGACGATGGACTGGGCAAGGTGCGCTACAAGTACCGCCCGCCAGTGGACGTCCGCAAGCGCCAGTTCTGCACCATGGCGAAAGACTTAGGATACGACGATGTGACAGAGTTTGCGCTGGTAGTCGAAGGATGGACGCAGGAAGAGCGGCGGAACTGTCTCGAGAAGTTTTACCTGAAGCGCCGTGCTAAATTGGCCGGGCAGCGAGTTTGAGAAGGAGCGTTTGGGACGAGCATACCGGCGATGGAGATACCCCCCTTTTTGAGTTTCTTACACAGCGACGGCGTTTGGAGGTGAGATGAGGCAACAGCGAAGGCGCCCAACTGCTTTGAACGAGCATGGGCTATGACTCTACGACTACGACTACGAGATACCCCCCCTGACAGCATGAGCCCGCCCAGGTGGCGTGGCAATAGCATTGAATTGAATAACTGATTGAACGAGCGCAGAGTCGCTCTCTCTTGACATGCATATCGTACCATACTCCTTTCTCAGCCCACGCTTCACTTCCATTTTCGCAGAGAGGGAGAGACGGCGAAAATTGCACGTGATGCTCAAGACTGAGCGGAGCGAATGTCGATCTCGCGGATAATATCAGTCCGACCTCACAGGGTGCTCTTCTCGTCACTGTCTGTCTGTCTTTCTACCGATTCATGAACTGACTTCCGAGTGAGCATCGAAATCATACCAACACGACCACTACCCGGCCGTCACCTTCCTTCCCCCGGAAATTTGCCAGAGTAACGACATCTTCACGTATAAACGATACGCCAACCTTGGAAGTCTTTTGAAATACACATGAAATGAGTGAGAAATGTGCAATCTTGGACAATTCTCCTCTCGAATATTCCTCAAAAAACCTTTCTCAGGATAATGTCTTTCTATTATAATTATCGAGATCCCATCGTCGCATCGTCTTGAAGATGTGAAATTGCGTGGAATCGGAATACCCCTCCGTCAGTTAGGGATAAGGTAGTTGTTGATTAACCCCAAGAAACCCTAACGATCGGAGGGGATGATGGTTAGGGTACGACGGGACGAGCGACATTTTTTGGCCGGGCGGGGGGAAACTGAGATGATGAGATGGAGACAACCTAAGATTCTTAGAAGACACTGTCGTGTGCTGTACAAATCATCTCTCAAGCAGTAGAAAGGCAGTATCAGCAAACGAATCCATCCATCGCTCGAAAATTCCCACCAAACACCTGCGCTGAAATCTCCAGACATCATGCCCAGAATCGCCCAGAAAAAACTTTTGCCTACCACCATCACCATCATGCGGTCCTGTCGCTCAGAAATCATACATACATACATTGTTCCCCCGAAATTAGAAACGGAAATTTAAGCAGTCCCATAAGTCTCATGCCCATGCGGTCGATTCACCTCGGCAGCATCCGCACCCGGAATCAATCTCTCCTGCGCCGCATCCGCCTCCTCTCTCAATCTTTCCTTCTCCAACGTCACACTCTTGCGCCAGACATATCCCACCATGACAATCCCCACCAGCAGAGCTAGAGCGAGCAAGATGGCATTCACGGGAATAGGGTCATTGTGGAAAACTTTATTCCGTAGAGCATCCAGCCCTGCCTGTGCGAAATTGAACAGGCCGGCGATACAGATGATGAGGCCGTAGACTTTGCCGAAGGTCTGGAAGCCAAAGACTTTGGCGCTGTAGTCGGAGACGGCGGTGTAGTAGAATGGTCGGTAGATGACGAAGAGGATGATGTTGATGTATGCGGCCCAGGTCTCGGGGATCAGGCCGAAGATTCCGATTGCGGTGGCGATGCTCACCAGGAGTCCCAATACGAAAGGCGTGCTGGTATGGTCGAGAACAAGGCCAACGAAAGGGATCGCGACGACTCCGCCGAGAGGGAGAGCGACGTCGAAGATTTCGTTGATGCGGCGGGCTTCGTGTTCGGAGCCGAGCATGTCGGTGTATTGTGTGCGGATGGTGGCGACGAAGTAGTTGATTCGAAGCATTTGGATCATGGTGAAGAGGGTGATGAGTAACCACCAGGGAGTGAGAATTTGCTGTAGTGAAGTCTTGCCGTGCAGAGCGCCCCATACGCCGCTCTTGTCTGCTGAGTCTTCATGTGTCTTAGTCTGGTCTTCTCCTTTCTTCGTTCCGAGGAGGCTTGTGACTTCGCCTACGACGTCGCGACGGGGTCCTTGCAACCCGTTCTGCTGTTCCTCGCCGGAGATGTCCTCATGTGAATCTTGAACCGTCTGTTCTGCCTCTTCTACCTGCGCCACAAGTTCTCCAACGCTCTTGTAGGATTTGGAGGGCATGACGAAGATCTGGGCGAGGAGCACAAAGGCGGGTACGACGAGGTAGACGAGGAAGAATTTGCGAGTGTCGAAGGAGCCATCGGTAGCTTCATAAATCAGGCGGTAGATGAGGAAGATTGCGCTGCTGGTATCGAACGCTCCTGTAAGCAGAGCGAGGATGAGGCCGGAGTTTTGTGGGAAGGTGTTGCTCAGTTGGAAGGAGGGGATGAACACGAATGGTCCACCGAGTGCGAGGAAAAGGTACCCTGGGATATACGCATCGCCTGGTATGTCTTTGGCGAATGCCAGTAGTAATGCGCCCACAGTGAGAAAGACGACTCCAACAATGCTTGCAACTCGCGGTCCATACTTGTCCAAGACCGTCCCCACTGGCAGAGCGCAAACGTTGGTGCTCACAGCAGCGACAGTGAACATCAAGTTGAGACGCAACTCCTGCTCGTAGCATACCCAGACACCTTCCTCGAGCTCTTTCTGTGTGCACTTGTCCTTGTAGACTCCCTCAGCAACGAATACCGGCTTGATGGCCGCGAAACCGAAGACGATACCGGCAGCCAGTAGGCAGTATATCACCGCGCAAATGACCTGAGCTATTCTCTTCCCTTTGCTGACTTCAAAGGCTCCGGCAGATGGCTGCCCTTGTACCGGCGGCGTCCATTCTGCGAGTGGGTTGAAGGAGAGCTTCCTCCGTTCTGATCCGGTGGGAGAAGCAGACCTGAATCGATCGAATGACTCCAGCGAGCCGCGACGCTCGTACATGGCCATGGTGGCGATTGAATAGGGAGAGTCCAAGGATTCAGCGAGAGATCAAGCGGGAGACGAAGCAGGTGCTGGCAGAATGAGACGGATCCCGTGACCCACTGCAGCAGCTTGCTGAGCTTGCTGGCGGTTCCGGCTCGGGATAATGTCCGCCGTGCGGTTCTGGAGATACTGTCTCGTAATGTAATAAACGAGCAACAAAGCGTTGGCACTGGAGTCAGCAGTTCTTGCTAGACAGTAAGGTAGTGAGAGTGGATGGTCGCACAGAGAGGAAGAAACACAGCAGCGAATGAGATGATGGCAATGGCAGAGAGGTCTGATAACTGATAAGAGAAAATTCGGACTCGGCACTCATCACACTGTTGCGAGGAACAGCTGCATTGGATCCCATCGCGTTGCATAAGGTACTCCGGTGGGATCAGCTGAGGTGGAGAGGGGAGAAAGTATTGAATGTCTCTCGGAGCCGGCCGTGAAAGGGAGGAGGGAGCTCGCACACGGCTCGGATCCCGCATGACTCGCGCGGGAACCTCACGTGCCAAGGAACCCCACTCAAGAAAAAAATTCCATTGACAAGAAGCCCCGCCAAACAACCTCCCGAGTCCCAACATCTCTCCGATGTCCAATTCGGACGAAAAAGAAACTGCCACAGCTGTGCTGCGGTCGCCAAATAGTGACGAGGGTGGGACTCGAACCCACGAGGATTGCTCCACTAGTAATCCTGACTTCAGCACAGTTTGCAGTCTGCCTGAAACTAGCGCCATAACCACTCGGCCACCTCGCCTGCGAATTTGTGATCACGGAACACCAATTGTCGGATATATTGCTTACAATGGCGCATTCGAAAGTGGGGAGTAGAGCTACGGGTCATTGGTCAGTGAGGACTTCATGGCTCCACGGGACCAGAGTCAACGGTGTATAGAGCTGGCCCCAAGCTTAGAATATCACGGGAATGCAATGAGCAGCAGCTTGATCCTGCGATTTTGCTATTCTGTCTGTCACATTGGGCGACATGCTGTAACATGCTGAGAACTTCCTTTCTGCAGAATAAAACGGAGCGGAGAAACAGATGCCCCGAAGCTGCCAAGCCTCTGCTAATGAGACGAGAGATCTTCAGGCCGCTATTCCCGAGTCTTTGGTATTGCTCTTTCACAGGTTCTTATGGCCTGTCAAGAGTAGATGCACCTTGGAACACGATGTCGAGTTTCCTGTCGGTCTTCGCGGCCGTATGCTTCGGTGCGCGGCATATCTTTCGAAACCGCCATCGTGCTTCGCTCGAGCTCTTGGGATCGAGAAGGACGCGGAATCCGACGACATCTTCACGACCACATGCTTGGACGAATGCACTTTTACGTAGATCTGCGAGAAGTGCGAAATGTTGACAGGGTGATGGAGAAGAGAAGGTGCCATCTTCCAGCAATGACGGAATACTCCCGTCGACGCCCGCCGCTTTTCTTGGCAGGAGGCTCCATCTCGACTTCACTTCCCACTTCTACACTTCCATTTCAATTTGACATATTGAACTCAAGTCACCGTTAAAGGCTCTTGAAGCGGCCATCTTGAGGAAGTCTTGTGGAGTACACTGCATCCTCAAGACATGGCTGAACCACACTTGACAGCGGATTCCGACGCTTCCGAACACCATGGTTTCAAATTCCCCTTGACCGGCGAACGTGTCCGGCGATTGCGGTTTGGCGCCCTCATCAAATCGCACTTCTGCATCTCCGCTGCTGCCATGGCGAATATCAAGCAAGAAGCCCACTGTTGGACAAGATTTTCCGCCGCTCACATCGTCGAGTCTGGCTACCTCATCTGATTCTCGCAATGGTACTGCCAGGACGTTGAAGCGGATTATCCATGATTTGAGGCGAGGATACTGTACCCGGCGGTAAGGTTGGTCCGTTCCTGGTGCACGACTCTGACCATGCCCGGTACTCAGCCATCAAGCTCTGCCGTACCGACCGCAGTACCTGCCCCCGGATGTTGTTCTGTCAGTCCACTGTACAAAGACACGCCTCGACTAGAGATCAATCTGGAAGCGTCATACGTCTACTTGGCCCACCTGATCCGATGCGATGTGAACGGGCTTGTACTTTAGGGATCTACAGCCGAAGTCTCTGCTCCCGTGAAGAACGAGTTGACATCACTCCGGTGGCACGCAAAGCCCCAGACTTCTCTTCGACGGCTGGCGTCACTGGCCAATTGACCATCGAAACACTGAGGCTTGTAGATGGTGCGGCGCAAGCACGAGCGAACTCTGCATCATTGCCCCCCAGCATTTGGTCCCCTCGGTGGTACTGGAAGCACGCTACACGAGAATCCCGTGATCATCGGAGCCGTCAGAGCCAGCGGTGTTTCTACTGATAATGTGATGCTGACTTGGGTCATTGCCATAGGATGGAGCGTCATACCCAAGAGCGAATCCTGACCGGACCGCCGCAAATCCGAAAGATAACTCCGTACCGACTGCGGAAGAGACGGAGAAGATCGATGAACTGGCCAAGAAACGACCGAGGCGATTCAATCGGTCCAATTGGCGGGCGACTATCTTCCACGACAATGAAGAGGCAAACGTTGCGTAAGGTGTCAACCGACAATAGCATACGCTGCCTATCACCGCAGTGCGACCGCCGCTGTACAAGTGCGGCACCGGGAACCTGTGCCGCTTGCTCCCTCCTGCCACCTCTCTTCTTTTCTGTTCTTGCACATGTGCTCACTCTCATCGCCTGAGCACACATGCAACGAGATACAACTGATCGCAAGCACGCGAAGTGTATAGCTTCTCACGACATGAATATTGAAGGCGATTCACCGAAATGGCCAATTTCTCCGAAAGGGACTTTCGAAGGGACACGACTTGCTGACTGCCTCGTCCAACGTAACTCCAAGGCACAAACTTTTGCATTACCTCTCAACATGGTTCGCCGTATTGGGGGCGAGAACGAAAGCCCTCGAGCAATTGTTGGGATATGTCACGGTGACGGTAAGAGCAATTGATTGGGATTGTCAAACTGAGCTGAGATTTCAGTCCCTCGGAATATACTTCAACTGCATTCCTTGGACGAAATTCTGATCATGTCTACGGTCTTCTTATCCTCGAACCTCAGCTTTGACAATATATCTAATGGAGGCATCCCGGTCTTGGCCAATAATGCCCACGAATAGGGAATGATGTGTCGCCAGCAATATCAGAAAAGGGCCAGAACAGTCTGACAGAGGTGTGTGTGGCGCTTCGAAACACAACGCTTGACATCCGTCAAACTGGAAGGACTGCCGTACTTCAATGTCCTCGACCAGCTGCAGATCTGGTCACGTGCTGCAATCAGGCTCGGCGCTAAAAGCGGGATCTCGCGCTGTGCGGGATCTTGCGCCGTGGACTGCACCAATCAAAGCCACGCTTGACCTCGCGACTGAAACAACGAGCCTACATCCACTTTTTCTTTGCTATTGTCGGACGCGCTTCATCGTCTTACCTCGCAACCGCCGACGCAGATCTGCTGTATTGGCTCACGATCGATACTCGCTGCGGCCAGGAGGCTACCCAGGCAGGCGAAACCGGGTCTTTTGCGCCAGAAATGTTTCCGCTACATGGCCTCCACCATCACACAGGCGCGTCGAGTCGCTGGCGATATGCTATACTGGACTTCACCATACCGTAGAGCCGAGCAGAGCGGGATGTCGAGTAACAGTGCTTGGCTGTCTATGCGCCAGTGCCTGCTGTCACCACCTTGGCCGATGTTTCGCGAAAACTGCCCAAGACCCGCAGTGAAGCGCGACTAGCTGAAAATGCACATTCAACGCACCACCACGTGACTCCTCCGAGGAAGACGACGAGCTCAAAAGGTCGCCTTCATGCGGCTCTACTCTCGTTGCTGGATTCACGACTTCTTTGTGTTGTGTGTGTCGAGTCTTTCAGGACGGCCGCACGACAATGGCCTGCACTTAGCCATTGTCGCGATCCCATTGTCCTTCCATTGTCCCTCTCTATTGTTGTCGCGCCGGCCGCCTACCGCTAACAATCGCAATTTCGAGATAAAAGCAGATCCTTCTCCCGACGTTTCCATGCACTTCCGCGCGATCTCAACTACCCGAACGGCGTTCTTCATTCCATACCCCTCGAAGAAATCGGCTGGTCCTTCTTCACGATTGTGTCGCACTCGTTACCAACACCACACTCTTTACAAAACCTGTCGAGAAGCCGGCCTTCTCTGATATGCTCGACAGCACAACCACACGCGCAAACACGAACACAGAAATTCTCTTTTCTAGCAACCGCAAAACGCGAAAGATGACTCCTACAATGTTCTCCACAACAATCGCCCTCCTGGCGCTAGTCGCCAACCTCTCTCCTCTCGCCTTGGCGCACAGCTGGGTGGAAGAGTTCCAGGTCATCTCCCCGAATGGCTCCTTCGTTGGCGAGCGCGGCTACTCACGAGGCTTCGTTGCCCGAGACGATCCAACTTTCACCGGCTTCAGTGAGGAGTGGATACTGCCTGCCCTTGCCTTGACGAATGCAGATGGGACAACACGAACACGCATCAATTCGAGCGACAATCTTTGTCACCCAGCACAACGGACTGCGAACTACACCGCGAAGTTTCCAAAGCTCAAGGTCAGCCCGGGTGACTACGTCGCCGCGAAGTACCTTGAAAACGGCCATGTCTCGCTTCCATGGAACATCACAGGCAAGCCTCCCGGCGGCGGTACTGTTTTCATCTACGGTACCACAACCCCGTCTCCAGAAGAGAAGATTGTCGACGTCCTGAAGTGGAACAGCGAAGGTACTGGCGGCAACAAGAAGGGTTTCCTAATGACTGCTCAGAACTTCGACGACGGCCGATGCGCTCAGATCAACTGTGGCAGTATCTCTCAGCAAAGGCATATGCTCCAACCCAACCACATGGCGGGACAACCGACTTCAACGTTTGAGTCTTGGTGTGAGAATGATCTTAAGATTCCCGAGAACACCCAGGCTGGCACTTTGACGGTCTACTGGATCTGGCAGTGGCCAACGGAGCCCAACATGGACTGCAACAACCCTGCGGGCAAGGACGAGTACTACACCACTTGTGCCGACTTTGATGTTGTCGACAGCTCTGAAAATCAGAAGATCAAACAGATTCCTTTCAGCGTTGGCGCCGGTGGCAACCCACGGTCTGTAGCTGTGAGCAACTACAAGTCTCGGACCGCCTACACGACATCTCCATCCATAATTAGCATGCAGGGCACCAAGACTATGGGCGACGTAGCTTCCCTTGCTACCTCCTTCGTAAGCCAATGCAGCGCCGATGCCAGTGTCAAGTCTGGCCTCGTCCTATGGCCACAGGTGTACGTCCCAAACACTTGCGCTGTGGTGAGCACATTTGGTGCTGCCGCTGCTTCCTCTGCCGCTGCAGTCTTCAACAAGGCTGCCTCTGCGTACTCGGCAAGCTCATCCGCGGCAGTCAGCTCTGCCTACGCGGCAGCCAACATGAAAATCCCCAAGGAGACCCCATGGTCGCAGGCACCAGCATCACAAGGTCAGCAGGCCACTGCGACCACAGCGCCAGCTTCGACTCCGAGCTCCGCCGCAGCTGCGACTTCCACACCAGCGTCCTACAGCAGTGCCTCGGATGCGGACTCCGTTCAAGTCACCACAATAACCACTGTGATCGTCCTGACTTCAACTATCCCAGCTGGTCAGACTGCTCCTCCCACAACTTCCTCCGCGGACGCTTCTGGCTCCTCGGCGCTCTCAAGCGCTGCCGCCTCAGCACCGTCCAGCGCTGCCTCGGCACCTTCTAGTGCTGCATCATCAGTCTCCTCTGATGTTCCGAACTCCTACAGTATCCAAACGGTGGCCACTGTTGGCGGCGTAGCTGCCAGCTCAGCTGCTGCCAAGGTCCGACGACACCCTCGTCACTTCGAAGCGATGTGATGAAGAAATTGTAACGACAGGTCGGTCTCCAGGCGAGGCTATGCATGAGTAATGATAGCGAGAACATTGCGCGGCGTTTTGACTTTTCGAAACGATACACCAAAGCTTATAGCATACTTGTATGGGAATCTGTGGTAGGCTTACGAGCGCCATGGCGCTACCAATTGCATTTGCCTTTGCCCTTTTGGATACCCAATTCTGTTGTACATTTTCTTCTTGGACTTTACATAGATAGATTTATGAGCTCATGGAAACAGTTTCGATGGTTCAATAAGGTCTTCTCCAGTGTTCTCCCCATTTCGGTTTGTTTGTGGTTTACAACATGTGAAATTTTGCCTCAGGCATGAACTTTCCCCGCCAACCACTGTCAACAAAGTCTAGCATCCGCCTGCCAACTCCAACTTTCTTCCAACACGCTCTGCCGTCAGGCCACACGCGGCCGCCATGCTCGCACACTCTTCTGCTCAACGACCTCCATAGCGCGCTCCAAGATGCCCGCCATCTCCAAGGCGTTGACGACCAAACAAGCGAAAGCAGCCTACAAAGCCCGCGGCCGGCCCTCACTCTCGGAGAAGGAGCAGCGCCAACTCGAACGCGCATTGGAACTCGAGAGACGCGCCGAAGCTGCGAAAGAGGCCGAGAAGAGACGGGCAGAAGCAGCGAAAAAGCGGGCCGAGAAAGAGAAGCTGGAAGGGAGGGGTGGGAACCGGAATCGGCTTGGGACACAGAGGAGGACGGATCGCTTTGGGTTCAAGGCGAGTCAGTTCCATCTTGGAGCGTTCTTTGGGAAGCAGAATGGAGGTCAGAAGGCACAAGAGGCGATAGTCGAGACAAGTGAGGAGGCGGATGAAGACTCTTTTGGGGATGAAGATTTGGATGACGAGGTGCTGCTGAGTGCACTGGACCAGACTCCGCAGAAGGCTACACCACAGCAGCTGCAGCATTCTATGTCTGATTGTGCGCTGATGTCTCCTCCGTCTGCGTCTCACTCAGGAAGTACGCTGCAGCAAGCCAATACCGAGCCAGCACCTGTGCATGGAGAGGATCTAGACAGCTTCTGGGACGACCTCGAGAGTAGTACTCAAATCGCCCGGGAGTTGGACACAGACTCGGCTTCTACGTCGCGACCGCAACAGGAGAAGAAGAGCGTATCGTTCAGTTCTGATGACTTTGACTTGACCGCTGAAGATCTGGACGAGCTGGATCCTCCGAAGCCTCGGTCGCGCGCAGCTGCACCAATCGCCCCGAAGTCAATGGCCCCTCCACCTCTTCCCATGAAAGCAGGTCCTCGAAATGCCACGTCCAACATGGCGTCATCCCATGCGAAGCCAGTGTATGTTGTGGCGAAAGTACCACACGCCTCTGTCAGCTCCTGCCCGGTACACCCTCCACTGCCTGCCCCGAAAAAGAGCACCACAAAGCCGCTCTCGCCGAGTCTCGCTCGACCCTCTCGGAATGCAGCGAAGCTACAGAAAGCGATTAGAGGTCCATTTCTGTCTGCTTCCTCGTTGTACTGCTCGCCTGATCTTGGGTTTACTTTGTCTCAGCTGGAAAGCTTTGTGGACGACGATATTCAGCTCACACAAGCCGTGCCCGGATGAATGAGACATGTGCCGGTACTCTTGCCTTCTTGGATATCATCTTATCGCAATGTTTCTTGTCGGACAAAGGAAAGCTTCCGGGAACAATGGACACTTTAGGTTTATGGACATGAACACTCCGGACTGGGCAAATAAAGGGAATGGGAACAAGACCTCCGTCGCACTTGATGGCAGTGCAGACGCTTGTGTACTGCCAGCTCCATTGCGCATTCGTGTCTGCGGCTCTGCTTTCTTTGCCTCTCGCAATGGAGCACAACACATGGCCAAGCGACGACCATACCATTGCAGCGTAGCACGATGTGATCAGAGTGGACAGAAACATACAGTTCCTCGCAGGATACGTGTTCATCCATATTAACAACCCGCTCACACTCGCATCGATCCAGTATGCTCGCGATATGACATTGGCGAGAGGCCGTATCTTGTACCAAGTTCATGTGAGTTGCATGTCTTCCTGGACCGGGCAAGGGCAAGACTGACCAATGACAGAGGATCCATACACCACACGTCACTTGGGCTATATTGTCCTGCAACGAGTGTACAACAAAGCAATTGTGAATCGTTCTAGTGCCTCACGAGAAGCCTGGAGGTCGCTGCCAATGAACGAATACAAGGATTATAACGGCGTCCATCACCGACTTATTGACCGATTTCCACGCATCCATCGCACTGGCGCCAAGATCATCATGAAGGCCGTGATGCTCGACCGGGCCAGCACCAATTCCACAAATGTAGAAGCTATGGTGGTAAAGTACGTCCGTCACTGCTGGACTTCGTATGACTGCCGGCTGGAAGAGGGTTGGAGTTAAGAGGGGTGAAGCTTTTGAGGCGGTCAAGCCCAGGATGAGGCAGGTGATTCAGAGCTGGCTTCCTGTGGTCATTTCTGGGGGCATGCTTGTAACTTTCTGGTCGACTCATGGGTCGATGGATCGGATAAAGGATGGTTATGGAAGAAACGTGGGAGCGAATGAAGATTGGGTTTATACGCCTTCTGTCATGGACTGGTATGGTAGCGTGGAGCTTCCTGTCCATTTGTACAGTGAGGCGCATGCGCGGATATAGATCATGCAGATGGAATTCAGAATACCACTGCTCTTTGAAAAAGAAACACAGCACATGCAGAGCGAATGTATCTCCAAAGTAGCATATCAGGTGATGCCTCAGCCAAACAACCAACGCTCAGATGTCATGCCGAAAATTCGCCGACAGCCGGCACCCGGCGGTTGCTTCCGCGCGAGCTGCCGACTCCTTGCGTCAAAACAGCTCCAAGCCATTGAATAGTGCACCTCACTTTTCCGCTCCACGATCCTACACCCACCACCGCCATGTTCCTCCGACGCGCTGCTCCCGCGCTCGCCAAGCGCGCTGTGCTGCGTCCAGCCACGACCGTCACCCGCTCCTTCGCGATCTCCGCTAGAAAATGTACGATGTCCCGAATGCCGCCGAAATGGAAAAGAGAGGAAGAGAGGAGATACTAACCGAGAGCATGCAGGCTCAGAGCGTGATCCAAGCATCGGCGAGCCCACGGGTCAGCTTAAGAAGTTTGAGGGTGAGGATATGTTCACGAAGAGAGAGGGAAGCATTGGCTGATAAGAAACGCGCAGAAATCCGGAGCGAAAAGGACCTCCTGCCTCCAGGTGGTAAGCCTGGTACCATTCCCACCGATCTCGAACAGGCCACCGGTCTGGAGCGTCTCGAAATTCTCGGAAAGATGCAGGGTGTGGACATCTTCGATATGAGGCCTCTGGATGCTAGCCGTAAAGGTAACTCATACACCCACTTCTAAAGGCCACGCAGCTCTCGCTTACCCTCGCATGTTAAAGGCACGCTCGACGACCCGATCGTCGTCAAGTCCTTCGGCGACGAGCAGTACCTCGGCTGCACCGGTTACCCTGTGGACTCCCATGTGGTCATCTGGCTGACGACTTCCCGCGACCGCCCGATCGAGCGCTGCCCCGAGTGCGGAAGCGTCTACAAGATGGAATACATCGGTCCTCAGGATGATGGACACGGACATGGCCACGACCACGACCATGGACATGCGGACACCGATGGCTCGCATAACTTTGAGGGAGAGCCGAAGACGATGGCAGACTTCGTGAGACCGGAGTACCGATAGACTGAAAGCGAGCTCTTTGGGGAGTCTTTGTGGTGATGAGAAGAAGGCGGCTTTGTATCATACACGGTGAATAGCTGCGCCGAATGAGAGAAGTACAATATAGTGGATGGCTTCCCAGCATTTGATGTCACGTGATGAGCACAGGCCAGGCGGGTTTGGACGTTGGAAGAAGAGGTCAGTATTGTGAAACAATAATATGGCAATGGGCCCTGCTAACATGTAATACATGCTATGACTTCCCAGTGAGCGGCCCGCGTGTAGCTCCTTCGACCTGGACCATCTCGTTGGCTCTTGCTCTGGACTATCATGACATGACTGGACGCCCTACTTCGAAAGACCAGGTCTTCTCTGCGAGATTCTTGATCCTGCTGAGGAAGGTATTCGACTATATTCTGGACGGGCTACTTCGAGAGACCAGATCTTTTCTGCGAGGTTGTGGACCCAGCTGAAGAAGGCATTCGACTATATTCTCGCCCTCTGTGTGATCTTCCTCCGCCCGGCGCAGCATGACATTTGCTGCATTCACATCATCACAGACATGCTTGCTTTGGCAGGACCAGTTTCCCTCGACGCTACGGATGGATGGTATCCGCCTTCTTGAAGTCGTGTTATGCGCCTGTGCTGATGAGCTGGGCGTGAACTCTCATGTGGAAATCACGCATTGCTCATGCATGACTATTTGGTCCAATCCTGAATTGGACGAAGCCCTATCGCCCGGCTCCAACGAACGCGATGAGGTGCCATGCATCTGAGATGAAGTTGAGAAGAGCTCTGTTGTCCTTACCTAATACCTGCAAGCTCCGATGTATCGTAAGTGCACGTGCGCGCCACGAAGGGCGGCCTCCGCGAATGCTTATTTATGGTCTATTATTCATTTGGCAGGTGCTTGCATATATCGCGCGAGTAAATCTGGATGGTCGCCGTGGGCAGGTGCAGCAGCGGAATAGCTGCGAGATCATACGCTCGTGGAGGCTGGTCTGGCTCGACGGTTAAACGGTTACACGGCGTCCGCGTGTCTCGGGGAGAGCTAGCGAACCTCTACCAAGCTGCAGAGAAGGCGCCACGAAGAACTCCAAGCTCTTCTTCCTGGACCGAAGACCTCCGCTTCAATGGCTAAGCGGTTCGAAATGTTCCGAGTTCCTCAATATTGCTCGTCTGGAAAGAGCGCAGCCAAGCACAAGGCAGCCTGACATGTAAGATATTCTGTGAGCAGAACCGTGGCCTTCCTGGACAGCATCTCAGCAGCTCAAGATTCGAGAGTATGCGTACGTCATATCGCTTCTCTTACGGTACGTGTGTACTGCATGCACGTTGCACAATACCGTCCTTACATCACCCCGCAAGCAGATCTGGCATGCACAAAGGTGAACATATGAAGCGAAGTGGTGAGCACGAGACAGTCAAACATGTTGTCTACCGAAAGTCAATTTGACGCGCCACGTGCTTCTGCACCAATCGCAATCTGGGAGCTTGGGCCGGGTAGCCCCGAGTCTGGAGAGTCTCGCCTGGGCGGGAACAACCACTACTACATGATACGATGGGTATGGGACCCAATGATGCGCCTCGACTCCTTGATGTAAACGTTGCGCAGGGGTGATTCTGGTGCCAAAGCCGCTCAAGCTGCTACGGAGAAAGAGCGATTGGTCCGTTGGATGGCAAATATGCTGCTGGCCCAGTGCGCCTACTATTGCCTTTCCCCAGACTTCCCCAGATCCGTTGCTCCTAGTTTGCGGAGGCAGAGCGGAGCATTGACCAGACCAGAGTAGTTGCGTGAATCGCTACGTGTCACGGGCCAGCTGGAAGCGGCGCACGGGACGGAGAGGAGTAAACACGATGGATATAAGATGGGACAACTCCTGTTGAAGTAGGTAGTGTCCAGTTCATCTCGCCTGACCAAGCCTTCACCACAAGAGTACCCGTCAGCCTTCTTCCACATATCGGACTTTACCATACTGCAACCACATCAGCCACAACAGTCAACATTCATCCCGCCATGGCGCCCTCACCACGATCAGCATCGACCGTCGATGTCGACGACATCTCCCGGGCCAAGGCCCACGATGAAACCGAGCGAATCGAAAACGTCCTCAGACCTTCGCCCTCACACTTCGAAAAGCTCAACCTTACGCCCGAACAGCCCGTCGCAGGCAAGCTTCGTCTCACATTCGGCAACCCAGCACCCATCGCCCTAGGAGGCTTCCTCCTCGCAAACACACCCGCTACCATCGATCTCATGGGCTGGGGTGGTGCAGGCGGCGGCGCAGGCAATGCGTCTGCTGGTATCGGAGCATACTACTTCCTCGGAGCTATCCTGCTCTATTTCGGCGCGATCGGTGAATGGATTCTGGGCAACACCTTCCCAGCCGTTGTCTTCTTCACCTTTGGCGGTTTCTGGGGCACTTTTGGAGCCACTCTCACACCCTTCTTCAACGTCATCAATGGCTACGCCAATGCCACGACCGGGAAAGTCGACGCCGCAGGCGAAGCCGCTTTCTACCGCTCCTTTGCCATGTTTCTCATCTTCATGGCCGTCCTCTGCTTACTCTACACGATTGCCGCTCTGCGAACCAATCTGTGCTTGGTCGCTATTCTGTTCTGCTTTACTATCACGTTCCCCTGCCTGGCTGCGAGCTACTTTTATGGAGCAGACGGACTGGCGAGTATGAGTAGTACGACAAGGATCGTGGGCGCGGCTTTCGCGTTCGTGGCGAGTATGATTGGTTGGTACCTGTGGTTCTCGCTGATTCTGGAGGCGGTGGATTTCCCGGTTGTGCTTCCTGTCGGGGATCTGACCAAATATGTGAAGGGACGGAGTGAGAAGGTGAAGAATGAGAGGGAGATGGCTTGAGTGGAAAATGGGAGTAGATGAATCGTATTGCTTGAATTGAAAGTGCTTTTCCTGAATCGTGGAATGCTTGCTCCTCTCTTTTCTTCGGTCTACTGCACCATTCTGCAAGCCATCGCCTGCAAGACATGGCCTGCACGATATCGATTTGATCGACGTGGGATGACTCGCATTCGCGTTAGTCTCGGCATGTGATTCTAAGCTGGGCGTGGTGATTAGTAAGGATCGGCCAGCTGAAACTTTAAACTGTGCCGCTCAAGGATTAATCAGACGACACACATCCCTGCCTCCACGCTGCCTGATCACTGCCGACATACATCCATACATGACGACAAGATCCTGCACCCAAAATACTGGACTTTTGTATAACCATCCTGTCGCTGGACGGGAGACAACATGAATCCCCACGGAAGCCCTTCGGCGGCGCAGAACGTGCCACATGGACGCCACCTGGCTTGTCGAGAATGCCAGAGGAAGAAAATCAAATGCGATCGGAATTATCCCTGTGGACAATGTTCACGAGCGGGATTCTCGTGTATGCAAAGTACGAGGAAGCCGAGGGCGAAGACGGGCGCGAAGGCGGCGGATGCAGAGCTGAGGCAGAGGATTGCGAAGTTGGAGAAGTTGGTCGAGACGTTCCAGGGCGAGGAAGGTCAGGTCGCGAATGTGACTGGGAACGGAAACCAGATCGCCACAGCTTTACCGCAGCCTGGACCGGAGTTTAAGCCTTCGCCGCAGACGAGTGGTTCGAGATCGAATAGTACAGGCAGCCCTTCCGCCATCGGACCGGACTCCGTTTCGCCTGCCATTAATGGATTGATGGCGGGCGGCTTTTGGTCCTCGCTTACGAATGAGGTGAAGGCGCTTGCTGATGCTTTTGAAGAGGATGATGTGGATGAGGAGGACGCAGCGAGTCCGGAGACCACGTCACCTTCCGCCGCGCACGTTCTGGAACCGAATCATCCCACATCTGGATATGAGCTGATCTTCTGTCCGCCTGGAGTCTTGTATGTCATGCCTGGAGCGATTCAGGAGCCGGATACTGTGACGGGATGTCAACTTTTCAACTCGTACCTGGAGCATGTTGAGCCCGTGCATAAGCTGTTCCATGTTCCGACTTTGAAACGCTTCGTAGAGGGTGGAGAGCCATATCTTGGGCAACCCGCCGATGCGCCTTGTAATCGGGCTCTCAGGATGTCTGTCTACTTTGCTGGTGCGAATTCTTTGATTGATGAAGAGAGCCAGGCTATGTACGGCGAACCAGTCGAGCAGTTGGCGCAAAGATTCAGGGGGATGGTGGACATTGCGCTTTATCAGGCCGATCCGCTGAATACGAATGAGCTTGCTACTTTGCAGGCTCTTTTGGTCTACACAGTACGTCTCATGCTGCCATGTTTGAGCGCTTGCTAATATCAATAGGCATCAATACGAGTTCTCGATCTTAGCCGACGAGCCTGGTCCATGGTGGGATTGATTGCGCGGATTGCCCGCGCAATGAATATCCATCGTGAGCTTCCCGGAGAATCTCCATTCACTGCAGAACTCCGACGCCGAGCGTGGCACGCAATCGTCTTCCTGGACTGCTACTCATCGATCGATCGCGGATCCGAACCAGCGATACATCCAGACACATTCTCAAGACTGCCGCCTAAGAATGTGAATGATTCGGACTTTGACGAAAACTCAATCGCCATTATTCCTCGCAAAGGCGAAATCACGGACATGTCTCTTGCATGCGTTGCGATCGAAGGCTCTATCTTGTCAATCCGGATGGCTCTTCCGGAGGGCATACCTAATGACGCCAAGACATGGCAAAGGCGACTGGACATGGCGAATGAATACGTTCGCATGATTCATGAAAATTTCTTGCAATACTGCGATCCGAATAATCCATACCATGAGACCATCGCCCACACAGCAACTGCCGCAGCACATTCCGTAATGCTACGTGCGGTCCGACCGATGGCTTACCACCCCTCCACTCCTCCGCCGAGAGTCGATAGTCCTTGGGTAATGCAACTTGCGCTGAACATTCTCCGAAACGCAGACGAGATGTACGCACGCAAAGCGACTTCTGGACAATGGAGAAGGATGCCTTGGGTTCCGTGGCATGCGATTTCCGTTGCGCTTGCTGGTCTATGTTCCATTCGGGGAACCGAAGTAGCCGACGAGGCTTGGACGCTCATTGACAAAGCCATGGAGCGCTACGGAAACCATGTTGCAGACAGCCGGAATGGCATGCTCTGGAAACCCGTGGAGAAACTCTATCGAAGGGCCGCTGCATTTCGGAGAGGGTCTCAAACGCAGCCACAAGCCCCGCCTCAACCGTCTGCTAATCCTCCTCGACCTAATACAGATGCCCCGAATGCCGAGGTGGCGATGCCTATGGGCGGTGATGGGAATTGGATACTGGACAACATGAATGTGCCTATGCGTATGCCTACTTCAATGAGCATGCCCGAGTCGGTGTTTGATTTCCCGCCCGAGATGCAGGCTGCGCTGCCCATTGACAATAGTTGGCTGGATTGGGAGGCCATGATGAAAGATATGGATGACATTAAGGCGGATGATATGCAATGGGTATGACGAGTGGCATGAATTTGATGGCATGTAAGGATTCCCTGTTCTGGTCGCTATCAACGCGGAGGACCTTGGAGTTGGCTCGATGGATTGCTTCTTTACCCTCCTGGATCTTCGATACGGGCGGACTGGCTGAGGATTGGACGGTACGTGCTTTATCGACAGATGGGTCCATACCACGGACTTGGAGCTCCTCTCGCGGTGGAACAGCATCGCGGACTGTGCTGCTCTGGACTGTTCGCAAACAAAGAACTACCAGAAGGTTCCTGTCATTCTGCAGACAATCTACGCTCAATCTTTTGGACAAAAGAGATCGAATGTAAACGGCTGAAATGCGAATGTACTATATGCATTGGATATCTGATAATGTGGTCTCTGGGGCTGTGACTCTTAACTCACTCCCTGCCCCTTTATTCTTCGGCGATTACTTATCAGAATTTCGGGCCTGCTGCGAATCGCAAAACTCTCACGCTGCTTGAATGATACGCATTTTATGGTGTCTTCAGCACCGTGCCAACGATATGAAGATCGGAGAGATCCTGCGGAGATGCTCGAGGTAGTCGAAGTGCTAAGGCTTCTGAATGCCGCTCGGCTCTTTGCGGTGAGACGGGAGAATAAATCTCAAGGGCGAAAGTTATGTCCCTGATATGGGGCGTCGGCTTTCATCTGCTGTTTCTTGGCCCTTGGTATCAAGAGCGGTTGCGACAAGAAAACTGCTATTGCTACAACATACCGTAACGAAGGATCTAGTGTCACAGCAGAGGACTCAGGTCTTCTCTCGGGGATTCGATTTGATCGATGTACAACATGCTGTTGTTCGTGACGAAGCTACTGCGTTGTGGTTGTCTGAGAGCGGTACGGTGGCCTACGATGGCAGTGGTTCCCGGCCTGGAGCCCTTAACCCACGAGTATCATACCAAGCTTGACGTTCATTATTCGATTCTTGTCCCGCCACGGCCTGGAGCCCTCAAACCGCGAGCATTATGCCAATCTCAACGCTCGTCATCCGCCTTCTGTCCCGTCACTACCATCTAGGCTTCATCTCTTGAGCAGTTCTGGAGGCGCGCGATATATATCAGGAAGGTGACTTATCTGTTCTCTGATCGAAGACCCAATTACGATGTCTGCAACGACGCTTGGCTCACTTGGTTTGGCGAATAACGGACCGGTCGCTGTCTGCTGCTGTCCTTTACGCTCGGTCTTGCATGTTCGCCGCGCATCCTCTGAGCAGCCAAAGCCTTGATACCTAACGTGCAGACGAATCCGTCGCCAGGGCGATCAAGGAGGCCAAGTAGATCTGAAAACTCATGTCTGATCGGATCGTCCCTTTTCGTGTCAAAGATCTTGTTACGGAGATCAGCTTCTTTTACATCTGCTTTTTGCAGCTCATTTGTTGCAGCCTGCATGCGGCGGATCCACTCCCGATCGAACGAGCGGCTCGTTACTCGAATGCGCTTTGTCAGGATGCGTGTCCAAATTTCCTCTTTTATCAACTCATTAGGAGTTCCATTCGCCTTGTAGTTGAACATGACGGGCGTCTCTTGATCTCTTGTCCTACTCTCACCACGACAACACCCTGCTCTCAGCATTTCAGTGCACGAAGTTAAATGGTGCTTATGGAATCACGGACGGCTTACCGACATGTCGGGAGGGCGATGCTATGGTATGGTCGGAATTTGCTGTCATTCGCGGGTGCTGCTTTGGAATAAGGTCGGCGTGCCTGAGGCCACTAGCGTGAACTGATCCGTGCGCAACTGGTGAGTGAATGATCTTCGCCTCCAGCCGCGTCCGATTTTGCGCCATTAGACATGACATGCCACACAAATAACTGCAAGGTGTATAATTAGGCCAGTGCATTCGACTCGAGAGTCCAAGTACGCTGCTCCATGCGATTACCGCAACTAGTGGACCATTCGTTTGTGTCGGGAACGAAGGGGAACACTGCCGTATCGACTCCGGCAACGAAACAAAGGCAATGCGAACACAATATTCAAGACATAGTGTTGCATTTAAAGTATCTTCGTCCCCTCAAGTTGGCTTTGGTATTGCCCAGATGCTGATGACTCGCCTTCCTCGCGGCACGGGAACCCACGCAAGCCGAAGCCGACGCAGAGCTCTCTGGTGACTCCCAGAGGGTGGCCGTCGGAAATTCAAAGAAAGCGTTTTGGGGATTGAGAAGCTCATTGATCGCTTCACTCGACTTGCAATCCGAGCTGCGCGTGGACTCTTCACACGGCGAAAATTCTTCCTTCGCCAATGGAGGGACTCGAGGGTTGATTGAGAAACTGCGGTGCGTGAGAGTCACGATGCGGCTCTTTACGGAGATCGAGCTCGTCAGCCTCTTGCTCTCGACTTGCATCCGGCATAGCCCTCAGGGCATAGCTGTCAGAGAATTTCAACCTAAATCTGTCGAATGTGCGGGAGCAGGACCTCGCCGTAGAGAAGATTGAATACACGAATGAAAGATCGCTGTCCCCGCTGAGCTCGCAGAATCCGAAGACGTCGATTGAAATTTCACTCGCTATCTGGTTTTCCTCCTGAGGCACGAGAGAGTTCATCGTAAGCTAGATCCAAGAGTAAAGAGGCTGGAGGAGCAGTCTCAAGAGCAACAAAAAGAGACTCATAGAGCTCAGGCAGACTTTATGCATATCAGGCCTAGGTAGAGCAGGGTAACCAGACAGAACGGCGTCGATGGCGTGTTGCAATGCGAAGAATACGAAGATGTGTTGGTCCGACTACAGATCTTTGCAAATCTAAACAGAAGGCTCTGCTGAAAGAGATTCGCAGTTTTGAACTTCAGATCAATGCTGCCGTCAGGATGTCAAAATTATGGCGAGCCGCAGTTGTTCGAGGCTACGCAAGGCTTTCTAGCGCCATGGCCCGATCGAGAAAGAATCCTCTCGTGAGTTTATACAGGCCAGTAGGCTCGCAGTGAACGCTGGTCACATGCTCACGCCTTCACAAGGCACCGCTTCTACGACAGGATGATTGCAAAAGGACATCAATTTTGCGGTACTCGTCAACGGAAGTTTGGAGGCTCATGAGGAGCCCAAGCGCCTGTCAAATCGACGAAGCTGCATCACTATTACGACATGGTTCTACGAAGGAATTGAGCCTACAATGAATGCATATGGCATAGTGCAGCTCGAGGATTCCACAGTTCAGAAACATCTCTGGAAGGCTTGCCGGAGACCACGACGCGAGTAGAGCCACACTCCGCATAGAATCGATTACTAGCAGAGTCTGGGGAAGCCCACGAACGAGACAACACATCCTACCGTACGACCACGAGCTCGATAAGGAGAACTACAGTTCAGAGGACCCATAGGACCGAAAATGTCTTGCCTGTGCCAGGAACTACTTCGAAGAGGCCAGAAGGGCTTTGGTGGAGGTTGGAGAGGTTCGAAACCTGTTGTTGGAGGCAGAGGTAGCAGCTGACTGCGTGTCCTGGCTCGGCGTATGTGACGATCCCACGGTCAGCTTCTCGGAGAGTGGCAATTCGGAAGAGCGTGGAGCGAGGCAGTACCTTGCCGCATTAAGAAGACCGAGAATGCAGAAATGGCGTCCAAATGTGAAAGGATCTGTCTTCCGAAAAGCAAGTTCGCCCAGCGTTGCTGCGAGCAATCATGCGTAGGTCTGTTGAAAGCTTCCAAGTCTCCCGTCTTGTGGCAACACAGTCCCCTATCGGGCTGTTTCGTCGATGGGAGGCTGAGAGAATCGTCTTGAGCAAGAGGCCGAGCATGCTTGGATCGATTGATATGCGTCGCGTGGGCAAGTTGCTCTCCATCGAGCTCAATGAGGTAGCGTTCAAGTAGATTTCGTTCGTTTTTGGCCGAAATTTGATCGAATGCAGAGCATTGTGTCCTATATCACTTCTGAATGACCCAATTATCTCACTGAAGGAAAGCAAGCTTCAACAATGGGTCCTTAATGCACTTCGAAGAAGCCACTTCTCAACTCGGACCTGACGAGAGCGCGCAATGCTCTTTCGGCCTTCGTAACGGTGACAATTGACTTCAGGTTCCCCTAGCAGTGGTCGGTCGACGTAGGTAGCCTCACGTTGGCCGTTGACGTGGGGGTGTGGAGTCTCTGGGCCCAAGTAACCGGAATCGCGGCGGTCATCTACGTGACTGTCAGTACTATCTATGGGCAACCCAGCCTGACGTAGGCGCTGGTGACGCTTGTGGCGGCGACGGTCTCGGTCGTGGCTGTTGTCTAGCGCAGCGCCGGCAGCACTCGCACCTCAAGGGCTGCTCGGTTGAGCTCGCCGACCATGAAGTCAAGTGCGGCTTCGTCGATCTGAACTCCCGCGTCGGCGAAGGGACTCATCTTCTTGCTGTCGCTGGGCCTGGCTTATATCGTCTCACGGGTAACCTCAGGGCGCAGACGTGCAGCCATCCTCTCGACTTCCTCTCCCTCAGCACGCTGGGCGGCCTGGCGTGAAGATTCGGGCTGCATGACCAGAGGGAAAACAGACGGGTCTTCTCGGAAAGATGAACTTATAACTGGGCTGGGTCGCTGTCTCTACGACGGAGGAGGTGATCCGGCAGGAGCAGGGAAGGTAAACGGTCGGTCGGACAGCAAGGGTGAAGGTGGATGGCGACCCGCCTGTTGAAGCTCCGCCCGGCTGGCTTCCTGCTTGTTCTCGAAGCCCGGTACCAACGAAGTGATAGAAAGAATGGACGAGAGAGTTCTGTAGGCGGTATGGCCCTCTATCCCTTAGATCTTCGCAGCACGTGGATCAACCTCAGCTTGCTGACGCACAACCTCCGTCTCTGTCTCCCACTTCTCGATGAGGTCTCTTGACCTAAGCCCAAGACAGGACTTGGCGGAGAAGAATGTGCCACGCATCTAGCAACCTCAGATCGCACACCAATCTCAGGAGCTTTCTCGTCTGGACGCTGCCACGGCGATGCTGCCATCCTTGCACATACGTGCGGTATCGCCGCCGCGCCCTTGCAGTGTCTTGCCATCCGCACCTAAGAACTTTTGCTTTCGGTAAAGCAGTTATTTGAGTGATCGGCCACAACGACGACGTCGTCTACAAACATGCCGTACTGTTGGGCCTTGTGTTCGATTCCTCTGCACGGTGCTTCTAGACGACAAACTGCTTGGTTCGCCAATTTGATGCGGTCCATGTAGATTGTGTTTCGTCTCTCTTCAATAGCATAATCGTACGTCGTGAGGTAAGACTCCTTGATCGAAGCGTAGCTCGCTGGCAACTTTATTTGCATGGATTCCCCGGTTGTGATGATCTACTCACGCACAGCATCCGGTTCACGCTGAAGGCGGTCGACCAGCTCCAATCCGGCTTTGACCATGTCTGCAGGAGGATCGACTTTTGCTGAAGATAGCTATCCTCCACGAGAGAAGGTCCAGTGTGATTCTTGTAGAACTTTCTAAGGCGCTTACGCCGTTTTCCCCAAGTCTTTGCGAGAGCGAGGTGCCGTCGATATTGATGCCGCGGCTGAGAGTTCTCCCGCTCTTGAATTGTCTGCTCTATACCGTGCTCTACCGCAGTCTCAAATCCGGCGTAGTGCACGTCGGAAGCGTCCGTAGATAGCACCCTCATTTGAATGCACCCGCTGGAGGTTGCAAATGGAGGCCTTGGCCGCTCGCTGCATTCTTTCCTCAGACGCCGTCTCTACCCGCGTTTCTTGGGCATGCTCAGACTCCAGATCGTAGCTAGCTCTGCTAAGGCTGGACAGTCTTGCTTTCCGACTCGCGGGATGCGGTCCCGATATTGGCTCTTCAGGCTGCCATGGGAGACCTGATTTCCATTCAAAACACGAATCGTCGGTGTGATTCTGTTAGCCTAGGACTTTTGACTTCAAAGACCGGATGTCCTCTGATTGTTGCTCCCAAGCTCTTTCAAACGTTGCATTCGCGGTCATTGGGCGAATAAACGCAGCGAGCCCGGCATCTCCCTCCGAGAGGTTGATGGACGCATCTGAGGGGCCTGTCGATAGTTGAGAGTCGGCGGACTCTCTATTATTGGGCGGGTACTGGGCGACTATTGGAGACGAGGGCATGGTCGAGCAGGATCAGTAGTTGTATCTTTGTAAGGGCGCCTCGAACGCACAGTCGCTTGCGAGTGGTTGACAAGTTGTGCCTGTACTCATTGCCTCAAGTCAGCCAAGCCTCGGTATGGAATGTGCAATTCCCTTTGCCATGAGGCTGTGTCCCAAGAGAGCCTCCGAATTGTCGTAGTATGTGGCCAAACTGCCGATATGCTGGATGTGACCGGTGTGCCCAATGTGGGTGCACCCACGGATCCAGGGGGAACAATCGACCAAAATTTCCATGCCGACGCAGCCTTGAATTTGTCTTTTTGATACGCGTCATCTTAGACAGCGCTGGATGATGTATTCGGACATGATCACGGTATGAGCAGTGTCAGACTTTGGTGAGGACGGCGCTGCCAAGTTTGTGAAATGGAGTTCCTTTGCCGGCGCTGCGGGCGTTTCAACAAGCTGACGTCTTCTTTGTTGTCAATGTGCGCTGACACGGTGATGATGAATCCAGCAGACATTGACGGCCGGAACGAGCTGTATTGTAATGACGCGAGCGGACTTTTCTGTGACAAACATTTGGGATTGGCCTTTGACGGCATTCGAATGCTTCGTGTGAAAAGGTGGCCTCTGCTCCCCGAAGTGCTGCTAAGAAAGAAGAAAAAAAAAATCACTTGTCCTTCCAGTCAGCGGCCTCTGCGAGCACCTCCAGGCTCTCGACGGTGATCCCGCCGGTCTTCCACTCCCCCACGAAACGCCGCAACACCTCCTTCAACCTCACGATCTTCTTCGCGTCCTTATTCAGCCTCTTCTTCAGCTCCAGGATCTTGCCCTCCTTGCGCGTCACCTCCTCTCTCAGCCAGCCATTCTCCCCTCTCAGCCGGTCGACCTGCTCTCTCAGCAGGTCAACCTCCCTCTCCAGGGAGTCGGCTCCCGCAAAATAGAAGTCCGCATCTACGCCGATGCGGTTGCGGTCCTTGCGCAGTCGCGCATTCTCGGCTTGGAGAAGTAAATTTTCGCCTGGTGAAATATTAGCCATCTGTGACGCGGAAGGTAGGCTCACTGAGTAATGTACGTTGGAGGCGTTGCTGCTCGCGGGAAGACATTTTGGTGCAGTTGGTGTTTGGTCACTATGAAGTTGTGTGTTTGTAGTGATCTGGTTGCTTAGCGAAATTAGCGCGCTCGCGGCATATATATTGGAATTGCGGCCCCAGGCACCCACTACGCAGCGAGAATCACGATCACGAGACTCACGCCAGAGCACACTCCACCTCCAGACTCGAAAAACTTTTGCAGCGTATAGTGCAATCCGTCCTGGCAAGTCGTCAGCGTTCCTAGTCATTGCCATAGAAACAGAACAGAACTCACATCAGTACCCTCAACCGCCAACACTCCTCTCGACTGCCTCTTGTGCACAAAGAAGAAGCAGATATCCGTCATACAAACCGTGAAACAAGCCCACAGACCGGTCAGAAACTTCGGCGCATCTTGAGACCTACAACATCGCGTCAATAACACACCCAGGGGCTCGAGTGTCCGCTCCTTTCCATTGCCCCCTGGATGCTGTTTCTCTGATAGCTCGTATAGAGTGGAATGTTTGCATTCGCGCCGGCGCAGGTGAAGAACACACCGGGAGAGTGAACACAAAGGGTATGTACCCAACCGACGAGGACGAGACCGATGATGCATAGTACTGCATTGAAGATGAGAAGGCCGTGACGGATACGGAAGAGGTTACGATTGATCGCAATGAGCTCACATATCGCAACCCTATAAGTTTGAACTCTTTCGTCATTCCGGCGATAGCGGCTGCTGAGAGGTTCGTGCAGTCCAAGGGGCAATGCAGTACCTTACCACTACATTGAGGATGGGTCTTCGGTCGATGAGATGTATACTGTGCCGTTGCCCTTCTGGAGCTTGCTCGCTCGGCGGGAGAAGATTTTCAGATGCATCCGACGTGTGGCCATTTTCGGTTTGCTCGACTCCATCGTAGAATTCTTTCTGGTCTTCCATATCAGCCGTTTTGAGACTGCGAGTTGCAAATCGGGGTGGTGTAATTCAGGAAGACAATCTGAACAGGGGCCATGAGTTCTCTTGGTTGGAAGATACACTAAATGATCGGGACATAGGGACTTAAAAACGCCGCACCACGCGCACCGCGGAAGCCGATGTCTAGCGTTGCACCGCAGGTGACGATCTGGACAGCAGGGATGGATCTGGGGAGTCGTATGGTGTTCGCCAAGACGGCATCCTGGGCATGTCCTTCTCCAGCATCCTTCGCTGTAAAGTGCCCGCAGGAGGTGAGTCGCCACTGTGCGGCTGATCGATCCGATTTTCGCTGGTCAAATCGTGCGAATTGCACGGATGCTGGCTGGTCCAGAGGCCTGGATGTGGCAAAGTTTTGTAAGTCTTCACAAAGTCAACGTTCAAGAACGGAGATGAATGCATAGTAGTCGCTTTCTTCCGAACTATCCCCATTGCTTTGACCACCGGGTTCAGGGTTGGAGTCCGCTTTACTCTCGCTGCCATTGTCAGCGTCTTCGCCGCTGGTCTCGGCTTCTGATCCGTCATCGCTTGGAGAACCGTGGGAGCTGCTGTCTTCTTCGAATCATCACCCGAAGGAAGCTCTTCCAGATTCGGATAGCGGTCATCTTGACGCCTGAAATTCTCTTCCCCATCAGTCGGGCAGCGGGCCTCACCACGATGCACGGCAAGGCCTTCGCGACCCTGCGGCAGCTACTATTCATAGCTGCTCCTGGAAAGATCGCAGATGTTGCCTTTCAGTAGTAGCAAGCTCGTCCCTCGTCTTGGTTCGGCCACGATGGCGCTCATCCTTGAAGACTTCCTCCCCGCGGTAACCTCAAAGGAGGAATGATTGTGATATTGGAGGATAGACTACTTTCGAGTAGCTAAAGCATGAGTCGTCTGCCAAACCAATGGTATTGCCCCGATGTTTCCCATGGTACAAACCCGGTGCATCACTCCAGAGGTCTCCAAGAGCTTCTTCACCTCAGCGCTGATCTGCCGGTCGACCAAATCACAAGGTCAACAACGTCCTCCAACGCTCGTGGCCTAGAAGCTCGTCGTATGGGTGGAGCTATATCGTCAGCAGGTCTTCCATATGTGATGATAAAATCTCCTCGCGCGATTCTAGTCGCAAGTCCAGAAATGTGGTATACTGCCGTGACTGTGAAGTCTCCCGGTCATGGTCCCAGCACCGTTTCCCGACCTTGAGCGTGCGAGGCCGTTGGTGGTTCTGATTTGGAAGGGTCCGGTCCGGGGCGGCTGAAGCACAGGTGTCTCGAGATTGCGGTTGAGATGGCCAATAATTCGCAGCACAAATTGCAGAGTTCGACAGAGTCGCGTTGTTGTGCAAAGTGAAGAATGAGATTAGCAGCGGGCGCCCCTGAACTCAATTATTCATGCCACGAGAGCAGCACGCGATCACGTGCCGTCAGTTTCCAATACAATTACCCTCCGTCAATATGCAGCAAGTCACCTCCCAGGGGATCAGAAACTTGTGGAATAGCAGCTTGTAGTAGACTCATTCCCGTCCCAAGGATTTCCACGGAACAACGGCAACCTCGCGATGAGCTCAGAAAAGCTCCTCCCGTGGAGATGACCATGTCATTTCATACAGAGGCCCTAGGACCTCGGGGTATCTCAAAACAAAAGGGCCTACTCAAGCCATCAAAAGATTAACTATCGGAACACCCATGCTCTCAAACCAGTATCTCCGCTTGACTGCGAGTCCTCCTCCCACGTGCGTCTTGGATTCAACCAACCGTCCCTTCTCATCAAAATACCCTTTCCCCGTTGCGATGCGTTCCAAACTGCTCGCGACAACCTCTTGGGTGCCATCGACCATGACCATGGCAATGGGATTTCTCCTCTCAAAGCCAGTGGGAGTGAGCTGTGGTTGATCCAAAAGAGGGCGAGTCAGCCCATCTCCCAGAGGGTTCTCCATGCCAGCTTCCGGGACAGAGACAATGACGAGGAGCTGCAGGACATCGGGAGAAGGTGCAAAACTTGGGATATTTGCCAGTTTTTCGTTGAAACTACAGCCTCCTCTGTAGATGACAAGGATATTGAAGGACTTCGCAATCGCGGAGGGCAGGCGATGATCGCAGAGGGTACTGTCCAGGTGGAAAATGCTCCCAAACGGCAGACGTCCGGTGGTAGAGGTCAATGGAACAGGATCCGTTTCCATCAACGCGGGGAAAGGGGCTGCACCGGCTCCAGTGGGTAGAATAGCTGGAATAAATTGGCGTGTGAAAGCCGTGTCCTTGTGTGAAGACGGACCACTGATAGGCTTATCGGTGGGCTGGGAGCCGGACAGAAGGTCGTACACCCAAGCCTGTACTTCATCTTTCAAAGAGTCCAAAGTACTGCTCTCTTCAACCTCTACCTCCGCAAGAACTTCGCTCTCTGAGCTCATGGGGAGCGTCGGGATATCAAGGACCAGGTCCACCATTTCGAGATCTTTGATACGGGTGAAATGGGGATCCGTTGGATTCACGCCTTTCAAGGCTTGATCAGTGAGGATTACTTTCTCGTCTCTGCCCAGATGGAAACTTGCGATGCCGTGAATGCGGAACTCGTCTCCGATTGCCGCTTCAACTAGGACACCGGTATCATCTGGCAGCAAAACGCTTCTTGGCTGCTGCACCATATTCAAGCGCAAGTTGGAGAGAGAGTTGACCAAGACGCCATCGAGGATCTTATGTAATGCGCCCATCGGTATTACACCTTTCTCAGCTTCTGGCGTGCTCGGGCCAAGGTTCGGGAAGGTCAGGGAGCTTGTGACAGGGCTTGTGATTTGCGTACTGAAGCCATTACTTGGTATCAGAGATTGTGGAAGTGTCCACGGGTAGAATGTGTAGTTGGACGGGCTTCTGACATCTGCGTATGAGATACCAGGACCGCTGGGTGACTTCTCAAGCAGAGGCGAAGATCGGGCAGGGTTGATGGGGACCATGTGCAATTGCGCGAGCGCGCCGGCGTGGAAGAGATCACTGCGATTGGCGGTATTGCTGACAGTAAGAGGCATGGGTTGTTTCGGCACAGGACAAGTCGGAGCTGGTGCAAGTGCGTTACGTTCCACCTGTCGCATCTGCTTTTTGATCTCATGATGAAGTCCAGACCGTCTGGACGGGTCGGGGATCAGTAGTGGATGGCCTTCGGTTGTGAAGACGACTGGCCGATCGAGTTTATTCAGTGGATGATCTTCAGTAAACAGAAGATACAGATACTTGGCCGTTTCTCCCAAGAAGAAGCTCTCCATGCGATCTCTCTGCTCGCCTGTTGAGACGTCGCTGAGGTCAGCCCAGCCGCACTTGGTCCAGCATCGGCGGCGTATATCTCTGATAGCCATCTCGCCAACATGGAGGTAGTATGGGTCTTTGGTAGCTTGGTGCAGATGAAAGTTGCTCTCAATAAATTCTGGTCGTCCGACCCAGTACTTGAAGTTGGGATCGACGGTGGCATGCTGGGTATTCCATCGCTCGGGCAATGTGCTGTATCTCGTCCAGAGTGCGCTCCAAAGAAGATGTGACTCGATTGCTTCATCCAATTCGCCAGCTAAAACAAGAAGTCCCGGGTAGTATGCAGAGAGGTTGTCGATCCAATGGTACCTGAGCGCTCCAGTGAAAGTATCAACTTGCGCGTAGTACGGGTGCTTCTCTTTCAGGCTGGTGTTGTAGATGTGCCTCTTGACGGCGGCGTGTGCCTGCTGCCATACCTCCAAAAAGCTCTCCGGAGCGTCCATGTGGGGAATAGTGGTGTTGTATGACAGACCAGACAGGAGTATGTGTGACTTCAGCGAATACTCGAAGAACGAGTCGATGCCAGCGCCGATGCCTGAGAGGGCAGGTACAGTCCACTGACCAGTCTCCGCGTCAATTCCGTTTCCGAGCAGGTCGATGGCAGAACGGCGTTGCCATATCGCCCAGAATGCGCGTTTGCCAAGCCTCTCAAAGCGTGGGTCGCCGGTCAATCGACTGAGGGTTGAGAACTCTAGCACCAGACTCCCAGCGCCGGCGGCACAATTCTCGACAATCTCTCGCGGATCTGTGGAAGTGCCGTCCAATCTACAGACGCCGCTCTCCGAATCGCGGTAGAAGGGAATGCCGGTCCGCAGGTTGACTCGCGGATAAGGTATGCCAGTGGATGTCTCGAAGGCAGGCAGTAATCGCTTGCCTAAGTCGTATGCCAGATGCAGCAGCTGCCCGTTGTATGTGAATCCATTGCGCCATCTGATGCCCGGAACTTTGCCGTTTCTGTAGACCGGCTTGTATCCCTCCATGGGCAACTCGCCCATTGCAAACAAATGCGCCGATAGTAGACCACCAAGCCCACGAATGTTGGTCTCGAAGACCTGCACCTTGCTATCCAAATCGAATCCGCACGCTCGTGTGCCGCATCGCTTGTTGTCCGTTCCATCTCCGTAAAGCTCAACCAAGTCTTCGACGCCGTTCTGGAAGTCGCGGAGAGGGTGACGTCGATCGCGACTGCTGCCAGTGTGGCCGGAGGCCAATATGGCAAGCGTGGAAAGTGAGTCGATGAGAGTCAAGCTGTAGTTGCCCAGGACATCGTTCAAGCCAATGTCGGCCGGGTTCTCTCTGTTGCGGGTCTGCGGCGTGCAGGAAATCGGTTTCACCTCGTCTTCGGGGAAGGCATATCTCATGTAACTGTCGTATCCATGGTAGAACAAGTCCCTCGTGTCCTGTCTGGGGGTGTTGTCAGCCTCACGTGCTCCCCTGCGCGTTGACGAGGTGACGATGGACGGGATGAATTGAGGTGAAACTAACCGTAGTACTGAAATCTCGTCAACGGTCATGCACGACCCAGTCGTGGCTCCAAGAGTGAGGAGCAGGAGCAGGCAGAAACGCATCGGCCATAGCGAGTTGCTCGCTGAGCGGGTGTTGTTGTTGTTGGTCGTAACCAGAGTGGAAGTCGAGTGCTCAGACGGGCGCATCGGCGACCTGTTTAAACGTGCATTGGTGAGTCAGGTGCTCACGGACTCCTCCCACGCGCGAGAACGTAGCGTGGCGTATCGGGAGCGATGCGTGTTGTCGTGATTGTTATCGTGGTCCAATGGCGACGTGACGTTGTTGTCCTGGGAACAATTCCGACGGGAAGTCTGGAAATGTGTCTTCCTGTTGCTCTGTGGCTCGCTTCAGCCAACACCGGCATCGGCTCGGCTCCCGGCTGTCTTTCCCGCG